TGAATGATGATGATGATGATGATGATGATGATGATGATGATGATGATAAAACCACGTCTTCCCCGCAGGGCTCCAGTCGTACCTCCTCAAAGGGTATGACTCTTGACCTTTTGAGCACCCACCCCAGTCCCACTTTCTCAGAAAGTGCTTGGAGCCCCTTCCATGAAGAGGTCTTCCATGAAGAGGTGGCCCCTTCATGAAGAGGTAGGTCTCCCTCAGTTTCCTTGTCCTTGTAAACGTGGGGTGTCTCCAATTCCAACCAAGTGAAGTTTGGCTTATCCACGTACTTCCTGAGTAGGTCTTGTTAGTTCTTGTTGCCCACACGACTCACCCGCTCTCCCGGGGGCCGTCTTCCACATGCGCAGCAGGTCCTCTTCCTGCCTCCGGCGGCTTTCCTGGACCGTGGGGATGCTGGGTCGTGCGTGCCAAAAGGTGGAAAACACCGTGTAAAGAAAGACCATGAAAGACCCAAACCAGAATATAGCACTGTAAACATGTTTATACTAATATGTCTTAAACCTTTAATTGTTTGTTTTGTCTAAAACATCTTCGAGCAACAATTGACAAGTGGCAAAATGGCGGCCAGTCTCCGCAAACTTCACGCAAAAAAACACAATAAACACAAATCAAGACAACACGTCGTTGCCGTACTTGCCGTACTACTTAGCCGGTTACGTATGTACTTGCACTAAAAAAGCACACTTTTTTGGTGCCTCACTTCGAATCCACTTCTGGGGGAGCCGAGGGGTTTCAACGGTCTCCGCCTCCTCCTGACGATGCTTCTCCGCCTCCGCGGCCGCCTCGGCGGCCTGGCCCCACTGCGTTTGAAAGCGGGAGGAAGGTGCCGACGGGCGAGAGAGCGGGGGTGGGTCCAGAAGCTGTTTTCTCATGGGATTGATGTGTCGTACATTCTGGTTCTTCTTCGATTCATAACCTGATGGCGTCATTCATTACCTCATCAAACGGCCCGGCTGCTGGACCCTAAACACGGTCCTGCCGATGCTTCGGAGGCCCAGCTGCTTCGGTGGGGGGGTGCACTTGATAAAACGATTTGGTTGGTTTATGTCCTTAAACCTCCAAGTACCTTTTGAGAAGGGGTTTGGGGTGGGTGCCAGGAGGGCCCAGTCATACCGAACCTGAGGAGGTACGACTGGAGGTGCAGGGTGTTGGTATGCTTCTTCTATTTGCAGCTGCTCATGAACAGCAGGGAACATCAAAGACCCCCCAAAAGTAGGTCACTGAAGAAAAGTTCTGATATAATATTTGTGTTGACTTAAATATGTGTGTTAACTCTAAGTTAAGTGTCTCAAGAAATATGACCCCAAAAAACTTAATGTTTGTGTTCTCTCTAAGTTCTCACCTATGCCTATACTGTATTTGAACTTCGAAGGCTTGGACGCCTAGCGGTAGTGCTTCTCACAGCACTATGGCCATCTCCATCGGGTGAAACCAAACACCCATCACCGCCCGTCCGTCCGACCTGACCCTATGAATTCCAGAGACCCAGGTCCAAACCTGGTCCAACTGACCTGCTTGAGTAATTAGTGTTTTTGGTATGACTATCTCCAGCCAAAATGAGAACTCCTGAGCTGCTACAGGTCAGTGTAGTGTACCGTGAGGAACCCATTCTGCCCGGCCCATTGTGCCTGGTCGGAACGAAACGAAATGCTTAGCACGCAGGGGTCGTGTCGCTGCGGTGAGGCCGTTCCGTGCCAAAGCAACGAAGCTGACTTCATTCAGGAACAAATCCCAGTCAGTCCATGGCAGCCCTCATTGACCCCTGAAATCAACGTACCCCGATGGGAACAAATGCCAGTCCCACCAAAGATGGTCGTGTCTACGAAAAATCCGAATTGGATGGGTTCGAACACCGGCCTACTCAACACGTTCGGCTTTGGATGTCCAAATTGTGAGCTGTATCTGAGCTCATCCTTCGGCGCCCTGAGCTCATCCTTCGGCCTGAGCTCAGATCCTCCTTTTCTCCGGCCAAGTGGAAAGACCATGATTGGGCCCAAGTATGCCAATTAGGGTGTTTGACCAAATGGGTGGGTTGAAGGGCATATTCTTCATCCAGCTTCAACTGACCGACGTTGGTGGAGAAATGTGGAGAAGTAAGAATTGTGCATCAAAAACTTGTAGATTGCCTTACCCCATAATTGACAGAAAAGATTCAAGATAGTAAAGGTCGGTTGGATGGAGTTAGCAACTTTGGATATTTCATAATCATGATGATGATGATGATGATAATGATGATGATTTGGGGGCTGGGTGGGGTATCTCCCCCAAACTCTTTCAATTCAGCACCTCCTGTGACACCTGTGGATGAAAAACCCTCCGTCACGTCACGGCCGTCGCACCTCGCGTCGCGCCCGCTGGGCACCGATCTCCACGCCGTCTTTGATCAAAAACCTCCGCGTCGACCGCGTTCGCGCACAGGGCACTGGGCCAGCCGAAGATGGCCCAGGTGGTTTCAACCAAGGCGGAGAAACTTCGGAGTCGACCAAGGCGGAGAAACCTTGCGGCACCCGAGGTCATGATCTCTTGCGACCCAAATCGCTTTCTCCTCCCTCCCTTCGCCCCGTCCTCGCCCCGTCCTCGTCACCTCCGCTGGCGCCAGACTCTCGTCCCTCCCAGCCCTCGGTCCGCGCCCCTTCTGACCCGGGTCACCCCACAGGAGTTCCACCCGGGCGCCCGCCCGGCGTGCCGCGGGGCCCGGCTCCGGAATGCCGTTCTCCTGGCGGAGCCGAGCGGAGAGTAGCGGAGAGTAGCGGGTTGGGTGCCGGATCGGGAGAAAGAGGTTGAGAGTTGTGTGGAGTGCGGAGTTGGGTGGTTCAGCTTCGGGGAGAAGCTCTGGTGAGAAGAAAAACTCAAAACGTTATCTTGAAACGAGATAGAGAGAGAGAGAGAGAAAAAAAAAAAAAGAAAGAACACCTGACAGAGAAGCTGATGATTCTCCTGAATGGTCTTCTGCTCATCCATTTCTTCGCCCTCATAAGCGAAGGTGAAGCTGTCCTGGGAGGTTGTCACGACTGTGTCTTCCAGACCCAAACCATCCATGGGACTGAACTTACCAAACTACATTGGGATGGTCTCAAGGGCTACATTGGGATGGTCTCAGGCTTCGAAGCTAATGCTACATTAGCTTCGCTACTGTTTGGGATGGATAGCTTTTTTTTGTCGTACAATACGGATGATCATTCTTGTCATGAGTGGGGACAGGGGTAGTGGGATGAGTGTCCAATTCCTGCATAGAAAAAGGACACTCATGCCGCATGCCCCAGTCAGCTGCAAATCACAGCCAGAAAAACTATCCATTCACAATTTACCCCGTAGAGCTGACAAGCATAGCGGGTCTAGCTTTTCTACTTTTGCTTTGCACAAGTGGTGATTTGTGGGCAAAGCGGTTTGGTTCGCCAGCCACTTTCCCCAGTCGGGAACCATCCCCGTGTGCGACTTACTCAGACAATGGCCCCCCGCAACCGCAGTTCCAGGCACTGGCGACTCCAAAGCATTATGGACTCATGAAAAATGAAAGGATCCTTCATCCAAGTCCACTCCGACTCCTTTCTTCAGTGTCTCCTTAGAGCTTCAAACACAAACTTGTTTTCTCTGTTTTTTAACGGACTCTTTTGTTTTGAAAGTATACACTCCCTCGAACTAACATGAAGGTGGAGAGTGGCCTCTTGGAAGATCATGTTCCTCTGTGTTTGCAGAGGGGTTCGACTTCCATGTTAGTTCCAGAGAGAGTAGTAATTCAAATTCCAGAAACACATTGTCCACACGCTTCGGACGCAAAAAGAAACAGAAAGACCACGTGATGCGGGACAGACCGCCTCGCTGATGCTCAGCCTCTCCGCCAGGGCGGCCTAGAATGCGAGCTCCAGGTATGTTGGGGTCCAGTTTGACGGGAGTTGATTGAAAAACGGCTACAAATTCACCACTAGGTGGTTCTCCCAAAGTGAGCATGTCTTCTTGGAGGGTTTTGCCTGCCTTCCTCATGATCCATCTACAGTAACCTGCTGTCCCTTGCTGCTGTCGCCGTTCTGCATCCAGGTGCTAAATTTCCGCGCCACAGAACAGCACACAATGAACACAAACTCTTGGATGGAGAAACTGTTGGATGGATCAGGATTGGAAGAGTGTTCTTCTCTCAGGTTGACCGCTTGTTCGCTCTCAAATGGGCTCGCGTGCGCCTTGAGCTCTGATAGCTTGCAGGACTTCGCCTCGAGGTCGCTCGTCACGAGAAGAAAGGGGACGATGGAAGTTACCAAATATATGCTCTTGTCCTAGAAAAAAAGGGGTCCAATGAGTTCTATAGGTACACACATGTTTTTTTCCAATTGCTGTCTGTGAGCTGATGCTCATAGGTAGACACATACAACAAGAAACCAGATCTCAAAACCGCACAAAACCTTTTGAACCCTTGGACCGGCCGCACCGTGCTTTTTGTTGCAAAAAAGCTCCGCATGGTGATTTTTCCCCATAAAGGGGCTAAAAAAGTCCAGTTCGACCTATGATCATGTTGAAAGTTTCTGAATTAGAGAGATTGTTGGCTTGTGAAGCTTCCACATCTTCCACAATCAACCCTTGAGATGTCTGGCTTGGGCCCATGACCAGGGCCCAGTGGACGATAATTAGTAAAGGCATCGAAAAAAAAAAAAAATGTGATAAGAGTGATAAGTTGATACAGTAAGTGATAAGTTTTTGCCAACTGTTACTGGTTTACCAGGCTGTGGCTACCAACTGAAGTAAATCAAACAAAGAAAATACACCCAATTTCTGAGATGTTGACCAGGGTTGGGGGGATTCTTTTCTCCACGCGATCTCCTGCTCGGTGCATCTCTTTTCTGTTTAAAGAATCTGAGGCCACTACCATCTTGACCACAAAGCCACCTGGCACCATACACGAAGCTCCTTCGCAAACCATGCCCCACATCAGAATCCACACCAACAAATGCTCCCAACACCATTGTCTCGACCCTTCAAGCACCTTCTGAGAAAATGTTTGAGGGGTTTAAAGGGTCCAATAGCCTCTGAGGAGGTCCGACTGGAGCCCTAGGGTAAAGGATGTCAATGACTCAATGACTGCTTGGAGGCTAAAGGGTCTCTAATAACCACCCCTTGTGGTTCCTTGAGCGTGCAAATCGTGATTCCATGCTGAAGAGTCAATGGGTGTCTTAAAATAGGGAGACCCTCTCCAAGTTGAACCCTTAGGAGAAGGAAACTAAACCAAAAACATTTATATCAACACCCTTAGGCAGCGGGCCCAAAACGGGCCGGATCAAGAAGAAAAGCAAAGATAGCAAAGCAAAATCCTTTGTTTGAGGGATTTTGAGGGGTCTCCCAATTCAAACACACCTAAATGGTCACAGCAAGTGCGGAATCATTAAGTCATTCAATCATTCGACGTAAATACCAACGTAGAGAACAGCTTCATCAAGCTTCAAATGCTGCGGAACGTCAGTGGCTGAACCGCACATATGTGGGAGAAGGGTTATCGACGTTCATAGCAGTGCAACAAAAGAAGAAGGGTTGTCGACCGCGGCCATGAGTCTGGTTGCGTGAGCAGGTTGGGGGAATCCATCAGCTAGTGAGCTAACCACTATCAAACATGGCATCAGGCCAGGAAGCTCCTGAACTGTTCCTTCTGTGGCACAACACTCACACTGAACGAGCATCACCCACATGGGAGAGTTTTGCAAACCACTGGAACGTCGACCGCTGTTAACGTGGTCACCGCTGTTAACGTGTATGTTAGAACCGCCCTCTAGGGGCAAGACACACCGTGCAATGAGATCCCCCAACAAACACTTCCCACTCTTTACAAGACTCGGCTTGGCTTGGCCTTCTGGAATATCCTCGCAGGAGGTCAAACTGAGTCAGACTCAGACCCTGTTCCATCCCTTTCCCCTCCAAAAGAATGACATGGCTTCAAATACACGATGGTCCAAATGTCACTCATGACCATGGTAATTACTCAAACATATCCGGCCGAACCAAACCATTGCCATTGACAACGCTCCCCCCAAAAAATCCGGGTGCGGAAAAAACACGTGGAACTGCTGTGGAATTGCTGACCCCGCACTCGCGGAGGTGACCAGCGGTGACCCTGCACTCCCATCGAAGCGGTGGTCACGGGGTTTTCTGGTTGGCGCAGTGGTGCTGGGCTTCGTCTGTTTCGTCCGCGAACCAATCGTCCATCCAAGTGAAACCACAAAAACAAGGTCTGTTCAGGGCCTGTGGCCCCTTCTCAAGGCTTTCATCAATCGCATGTTCGCATGTGCATGTGCAATCTCCCCTCTTTGCACTCAGCAAATGTATAATGATTGAATTCGGAGACAAGCCAGCTGCTACACGTATTAGCTTCCAATTTGGAGCCCTGCTCCCGGCGGCAAGCAACATTGATCCAAAACCGACACATCTTCTCGCAGGGCACTCTCTTGGGCAGAGTCCATCCGTGGGAATGTCACGAGGTCGACCCAGACGTGAAACCAGCCCGACTTCTCCCTCAACACCACTCCGGGCTTGGTGCGAAGCCACGTCCGACCCCTGCAGATTCGACACCGACCCCGCCGGATTCGGGTCGATTTTGAACGAACATCAACATCCTCTGTTTCGGTTTCACCGCTGATGATTCGGTTTCCCCAATCTTCCCCATGGCAAGGGGATTCGCTCGAGAACATGTCCGCGTCAGATCAAAAAGAAGAAGCTCTTCCTGGACCCTCCAATAGGTGTTTCCTGGTGACAACATGTGCCCAGAAACCACCGGCTAGGGTCTCCAAACAGCCTGTAGGAGGGTCCTGGTATATGGCTATGGATCCACGCAAAAACCCATGTCCCGTCGTGTTCTCCCCCCAAACCCGCAGACTTGGGTGTGCTCCAGTCCTGCCCATAGATGGTTCGCACCGGCCTTGCCCAGACGACAAGGCTCAGCTCAGCTCTCAAGCTGATCGTGCGTGTGCAGGTGATGCCGCACGGAGACGACTTCTTCCCAAACCATGTGATGTAGTCTTGATGAATCATCACCCCAAATTGGCTTGTGAAACCTCCGCTTTCTAGCCTTCTTTCAGACCATTATAGAGGAATGGTTGACCTGGTTTTGTAGTGAAACATCCTCAGTCAAACAATGGTGAATGTCACCAAACAGTGTTTTGAGGTCTAGAGGTCTAAGGTCTAGAGGCCTAGAAGCAGAAGGATTCACTAAGTCTACTGAAGCATGGATTTGTGCCTCGATCTTGGCTGTTTGAAGGAAAGTATGGCCAATGTTTGAGGAAGTCATCTGTCATAAGGACCTCCAGGATTCTTGATTTTCGACCATGTTTTGCCCTAATGATCTTCCACATTCTCCCGTATTTTCCATCACTTTGTGTATGTGCCAACACCATTTCAGGCCGCCTGTAGGCCACCCACACACTCACACTCGCACGAACCGGCCGACCGCGTGGCGTTTGGGCGCGAACCGCGCCTCATCTGGACCGCGTTGTGCGGGTCCCCTGCGATCTTCGGCAGCTCTTCCGCATCATCCGCCGCCGCCATGGCGCACGCACTTCGCTTCGTTTTGTCCGGCAGCGTTTGGCCGGGGTGTTTTATCGAATGCCTCCTCCCAGAGGAGCTGTGCTTGGATGAGAGTTGATGAGGTGTCTGCCTGTGAAAAATAATCGAAGCTGTTTTCATTGGGAAGTACACGTCGAGCTGAAAAGATTCTCGGAGCTCAGATTATCTTGAATTGCAGAAATTGATGTCCAACCACTCCAGTTCGAATCTACAGTTGCTGCAGGCTTGTTGCGGAGATTCAGACAAATTTTGTCCGCGAAAGGATGCAAAAACACCAGGAACTTGCTAAGTGGCTGTTTCTCCTTTATGGAATTATTCGCATCGTCAGTGGTGGTGCAATTTCACTTGTTAAGGGATTATCTTCCCCAGCACGAGGGAAAGTCACCCAAATCACCCTAGGTCAGATACCCCCTACCCTAGAAGTCCAGTTCGACTCTGACCAACTGACAGGAACAACCAGGAGACTCGGGCCATACCAGACCATCCTTTGTATACTCTTCGCTCTCCCAGGGCCAAGGACCTGGACGCTGCACGCCGAGGACCCGACCGAGGAGATCGCGCCGCCCGAGATCGCTGCAGAAGCTGGCGGAGCTCGAGAATTGGGATGGTGCGAAGGTGGGCGTTGTTGGAAGGTAAACGGTTTGGCTCGAGAAGTGAGGCGTAAATCCTTGGAAATCACGGTCTTTGGAATTGCCTTTGGAACCAAAAGCAAGCTCCTTGAGGGGCAAAGAATTGAAGGTTCCTGACGAATCTCGATGAGAAGCAAGGAACAATTTTGGTCAAAAGTCGCACGTGCTGTCCACGCGAAAAGCGGCGTGGCTCGCTAGAAGGGCTTATAAACGCTGCAAGCCGGCGGTGTGGAAAAGTGAACCACGTACCATATTACTTTATATATATATATACACACTGCACAAGAACATACCCATTGTTTTTTGATACATCTGTCTAAAAAAACACTATTACAGACAATGCTACCAGGTTTTTCCCAAACACTGTGGACACACTTAGGAGCTCTTACGGTAATGGAAAAGCAGCTGTGCTCAGATCGGTGTGGCACGGCCGTGTCCGGCTAATTCGCTGCTATTTACAGTACGTTCATGCCTCTCGAAGTCGTCGAAGTGCATTTCGACTGCGCAGGGTGCCCGGGCGGGTGCTTCTAGCGACTGCGCTCTCGTTGTGGTGCCGTGCGCATTTTCGCACATGGTGGTCACTTTTCGTGGCACGCGCAAGGGAAACCTCGTGCTTTGGCGCTCCAAAGTCGACTTTTCGTAACAGGTGCAAGGGATCGGAGCTGTTTTACTTCCAAACGCAGATTTCGTGGCAGGTGCAGCACTTTGGACATGGTGGTGATCGTCGAGGAGCTCAGATTTCGTGACAGGTGCAGTGAATCGTGACTTTTGGACATGAGACCCTCGATGTGCAGATTTCGTGGCAGGTGCAGCACTTTGTGAACCTCGAAGTGCAGATTTCGTGGCAGGCGCAGCACTTGGTGAACCTCGAAGTGCAGATTTCATAACAGGCGCAGCACTTGGTGAACCTCGAAGTGCAGATTTCGTGGCAGGCACAGCACTTTGTGAACCTCAAAGTAAGTGCAGATTTCGTAACAGGCGCAGCACTTGGTGAACCTCGAAGTGCAGATTTCGTTGTAGGCACAGCACTTTTGCGAAGTGCAGATTTCGTGGCAGGCACAGCACTTTGTGAACCTCGAAGTGCAGATGGTGCAGCACTTTGTGAACCTCGAAGTGCAGATTTTGTGGCAGGTGCAGCACTTTGTGAGCATCGAAGTGCAGATTTCGTGGCAGGTACACAGCACTTGGCGGTGCAGATTTCGTGGCAGGTACAGCACTTGGTGAACCTCGAAGTGCAGATTTCGTGGCAGGCACAGCACTTGGTGAACCTCGAAGTGAACCCTTGAAGTGCAGATGTCGGCGCAGGTGCAGCACTTTGTGGTCTTAGATGCTCACTCTCACTCTCTCACTCTCACCCTCGCTCTCACTCACTCACACATTCACATTCACACTCACTCCCACTCGCACTCGCACTCACACTCACTCACTCTCACTATATATCACTCACACCCGCACTCACACTCACACTCACTCACTCTCCCACCCCCACTCAAACTCACACTCCTCACACTCACTCTCCCACTCTCACACTCTCACTCACACTCCGACTCACTCTCACACTCCACTCTCACACTCCACTCTCACCCACACTCCCTCACTCACACTCACTCTCACTCTCGCTCACACTCGCGCTCACACTCACACTCACTCGCTCTCCCACTCTCACCCACACTCCCTCTCACTCACACTCACTCTCACTCACACTCGCGTTCACACTCACACTCACTCACTCTCCCACTCTCACTCACACTCACACTCACACTCCCTCACACTCTCGCTCTCCCACTCTCGCTCACACTCACACTCACTCACTCACCACCACCGCCACCGTCACCACAATCCCCACCTTGATCACCACCATCACCTCTCTGGACCCCAATGCGTCTAGATCTCTAGACTTTCTGCTTATAGACCTCACACACACACACACACTGTTTGGGGTCTCTTGCCGGGATAACTTGAATACCATAAATTAATGTTGTTTTTATTGTTTGTTTATCATGTACTACGGACATTGAAAATGCTTCCTATTTGTCTCGGGGACGGCACCACCGCCGCTGCGACACCACGAAAGACTCTCAAAGACGGACTGGTGTGCGACAGAACGACGACGTCGACCAATGCCTAGGGCTCCGTTTTCGTAGGAAATTGGACCATCCCGGCTCCGAAGCCTCACAGCTGTATCCAATGCTGTCGTACCTGAGAAGGTATATGACAGCATTCCTATAGGGAATTATAATGAATTATATATAATTATGGTAATATCAAAATCACCAGCCTTTTTGTGTGGATGTTTGGCCCACAACGGTCATTTTAGATGGTCGGTCGCAGGAGTCCGCGGTACGTCACGGCGCTGCGGTACGTCGCGGCGCTCAACGGCTTGAGCAGCGCCGTTCGCCTTGGTCACCTGGCAGTCGCCACCATCTCTGGTACCTGGAGCTGCAGAGAGCGAAGATGAGCAGAGCTGCACGGGGGAAGCTTGTTCATGGATCTGGCTTGGGCTTGAGGAACACAATCAGACTGCAGCAACTTCTGAAACACAAGAAAGACCACGTCACGTGGTCAACATCCATGTCTCTTTGACCAAGTGCGAAAGAAGGGTGTAGAGGGTAGAATCGAGGGTAGAATCTGCCTCTGGTGCTGCTTGACCAATTCTCTTGGACAGTTAAGAGAGGAAACAACATGCACCAACCACATTGACAATCGACATCAGTCTGGATCACTTCACTATACGAGACGCACCTTCAAGAGCCAGACGTAGGGTTGGGTACATGCCGATGATGATAGGAACCGGTTCCTTTCTCAAAATACGACTAGTAACTATAGTAACACTCTTGTGGCACTTTATGAGGTGCCCAATATTTGTGGCACCTTATGGCACTTTCTGAGGTCAAATGCCGAACTTCCCAGGGCACCAAGTGAGAAGCCCACTGCAGCATCCTCCTGACGTCTGCCGCCGCGCAGCCACTGGTCGCCACAGACCCAGAACCCAAAGGTTTCACCCACGGAGAAAACGCAAAGTTCATCTCCAAGCAAGAACCAAATGTGCAAGTCATAAGAATCTGCCGTATTCCAAAAAAAGAACTGAAACTTAAGCCACAATGAGACAAACCGTGCGAACTGTTCGAAAGGGCAGAATGATGGAAAATTCCTTGTTGGAGACAGGTTGTGCTCTTAGCAGGTCGGAGAGCATTGTACAAAGAATAGTCACATACAGTGAGCACATGGTGACTCTGCGTGAAGCCATTGATTGCAATAGCTATCTTCCGAGTCATTCACATGGAAGCGGATGATGGCAACTGCGTAGACCGGTCGACTTCCGTCAAACCGGAGCGGAACCCAAAGACCCGACCTCCCGACCTCCGGCGCCGGAACACTTTTCCCGGACTCGAATCTCCAACTGCACCCCGGAACGGAGAGTCGGACACCAACCGGCCATAATCCTCCTGACCAAGGCGGGAGGATCTCGGTGGAAGCCCGGACTGGCGCCACAAGGCTTGCAGCCAAGCAAGTGCTTGGAAGATCTTGGTTTGGGGACCAAAAACGCTCCAACGAAACTCTAGACTCTAGTCGACTTGGCCCTCCACGGGAAGCTTGGTGCCAAACATGCTTGGCTTTGAACATCTTTAGAGGTTGAATGCAGACCAGTTCAACAGAAAGGGAACCTTTCTCATCATCTATCCTGACTTCCTTCAGCTTGGTGCTCCAACGATGTAGGGAAACAGTGGACAAAGGTAGCGAAAAAGAATGTAAAGAATGTCTACCCCTAGCGCCCTAGGGCTCCAGTCGTACCTTCTAAAGGGGTGGGTGCCAGGAGTGTCCAGTCATACCGAACCTGAGGAGGTACGACTGGAGCCCAAACGGGTACTAAGAAACCTGGTGTCCACCCACCCTGCTCAGGACGCGACCAGGACCAGCACCGTCCATCTGGTCCGATTTGACCTTCTCAGCCGAGGGATCAGCAGCACATATATTCTTCTTGCAAGAGCAGTGTAGATTAAATGGTGAAGAGTTTATCATGGTTTTCATACTACTGTATAAGACATCTTATAAACATGTCTAAATGCAATTCTTTTGCTACCATTTTGGACTCGAACATCGTCCAATCGACCTCTCACCTGCTCTGGGCGCACCTCACGGCACCGTTCGCCGGTTCTAAACAGCACCCGAGGAGAGCCGGATCGCGCGTGGGAGTGAGCGGGGGTCTTGACCCCCCTTGTGAATCATGGTGGGGTAGATCACATGCACATGGATGGGGTGAGGATGGCACCTCTGGCAGCTTCAAGCTGTGGATGTGAGAACACATGCATCACGAGGTTTGGCCAGGTCTTGTTTCTGATGTTCACGGGCTCTGACTGGACACTTCCAAAGGAGTTCTTGGTGAGCCATTTCCGAAGGTTTCCCCTTCCCCGAGAAAGCTTGCGCTGCTTAACCTCGCTGCTCATCCTCGCTTATCCTTTGAACCCGCAGAAATGGCCGCGGAACGGTCATGCACGGCAGAACGGTCATCCGGACGGACGACGACATCCGACATCGATGAAAGCCCGAACTCCCAAACAAAAGGTGTATATAATTGGATTTGCTGTTCAGGAAGCAGGGAAGAGATAAAACATGCAACAGATTTCATCCACACGGCAAAGAGAGCATTGTGCTTCATGGTCTCATATCATCTCACTGTCTGTGCAGTTGAACCTTTTTTTTCGACATCGCTTGCCTTCTGAGATTCTCTGTCATGCTCCACAAACAGTGCTCATCAGCATGTCATGGCAATGTGCAGTCAGTGCTCCTCACAATAGGAACCTTGCGCACAAACAACTAGAAGAAGCGCACATGAAAAGGCACACATCCTCAACAAAAGAAAGTGATTCTGAGAAATTATAGACTAAGCTGAGAACGCCCTTACTGACTTCTTGATTGTCTATTCCTTTTGCATTGGATGTAAAAGGAAGTGCCCGGCACGGTGCGGCTCATGACTACAGTAGGCTGCCCAGAATGTGTTCCTTTGGAAGCCACATCCCAGCAATCCACAATTTGTGCCTTCTCGTTTTGTCACAACGAACACGTCGACTTGCTCAGTGCAGGTTGAAGCAACTGGCCAGCAAGCAGGTAAAGCTCTTTTGTCATGAACAGGAGGTCCATTGATTTCTGGATATTGCTGGCAATATAGAATCTACTCATGGGGTTGTCCAATATCTTAACGTTGGCATCATCGATCTTTCATTCAGCTTCTCGGAGAAACCTCTTCGGAGAAGATTCTGAAAACCCAACTCTCCACCTGAGGTTTGACACGCGGAAGAGGGACCAACGAGAGTCCAATAATCGTGAACAAAAACAATTCTGATATATGGTCAGTCCATGTCAGTCCATGTCATTCCATGTGAACATCAACATTACCCATACACTCCATGTATGGAATATAGGCCTACATTGACCCCCCTGGCACCACCCGCCGATCGGCAGTCCTATGGCAGTCCCATTAGTCGTGTCTGGGTTATGAGATGCTCCGGTCATTCCTTTTTGACCGGTCAGGATGTTGCTCCGGTTTTCCAGGTGAAGGGATTCGTCCTTCTGGTTCCCGAAGCCTATGTGTTCGGCGAATCGATTCGATGTCAAGGGCCCAGCAGTTGGGATTTCCCCAACAGGTCCTGACAGGAATGGTGTCTATAGATGAAACCCAGGCTCTGTTTTGGGCTCTTTTACTCTGGCTTTAGCGCCAGTCACTGACATGAAGCTCGATCATGTAAATCATTTGATTTGATTTGCTGTGGCATAGTGCCCCTAAGAGCTTCTACCAGAGTTCCACAACAGGATCCAGAATGTAGAATTGTTTTCAAAGTTGCGTTTGTCCTATATAGACTAGCAGATGTTCCCTTCAACAGCCACTGCTAACTGCAAACAACAAGTTTGGAAATTCCACCAAAGTCCAAGCACTGATTTGGCGGACCTTGTGTGCGGTGCCCTTCTCGTCAGGAACGTTGCCACCTAGAGATGCACAGGTCTGGTTTGGTGGCACGCAAAATCCGGAGAAAACCTCGCAAAGGGAACGGTAAACTGCAAAGTGTCAAACTCAGGATGATATTCTGGGATAGCTATACCGTCTAAACCATGCAAAAGAATTGCAGGACAACTCAGAAAAAAGGAAGGGTCAGCAGTGCCAGCAGTTGATGGGTCTGAAACACATGATGCACGTGGCTTTCAGATGCTTTCAGTATTGTTCTCAAGTCTCTTCCGTGACTTGGAAGGGTGTCATCTGGGTGTCCACAGGTGGCTGTCCTCTGGGTCACGGGCAACAGTCCAATGATGACGATGGCCAAACTCTTTGCAAGACCTCGGGACAGCAATCTTTCGAACTCGGTTCGTGGACTGAAAAGGATCGATGCAGTGGAAATAGAAAGAACGAGGCTGCGACTACATGAAGAAAGCTCTGTTGGCAAGACTTGAGAAGTGTGAATGTGGTGCTACAGTCTTGAAATATGGAATACCCCCGCAGGCTGAGAATTGACCTGTGGAGGACCAACTACCATATTTGCCGATCAGGCCAGGGATGGCTGAAACGGGATCAATGTAGGCATATATTCCATACATTGTTTGGGTTCTGAGTGTCTCCACAACTAGGGTTTATGAAATGCTCATACAGTCTATCAAAGAAATCCACAACTGATGAGGTTCTTCTTTCTCACATGGAGTATCGTGGACCCTGCCCCGATCTTCGACCAGTGGGAAGCGATGAATGAGTCCTGGTGAAAATCCTGATACATGCGGGTGGCAGCCCTCAAACCATCATCCTTGAGGAGTTTCCATAGACTCCGGATGGTTCCTTTTCTTGTCCAGCCTAATGTTGCAAAAAATTGATTCTCAGCAATACGGCCGCCCCTGGCTACCCTGTCAAGGGTTTAAACTGAAGTGTGTTGTGTTGAGAATCCCTCACCAAAAACATTTGAACATGTCTAAGGGTTCTGCGTAAAGGCAGAAGAGTTTCTTGTTGATTAATGGTCCCAGCTGAAACTACAACCACTGGTATACTACGCTGAACATGTCATGGACGTGAGCAAAGTAGAAACCATCCGTCCTGGATTTGACCTGTTTGTGCTTGTAGAGTTTGGTGTCTTCCCCAATCGCGTCATTCAAAAGAGTGAATAATGTGTATATACTAATACCTTCGTAGGATCTCCGTAGACCTACTTACCAGGCAACGACCCTCTGGAAGAAGGATGATTGACCCAAATCTGGCCAGGGGGTCTCCATATCACCCATAAAACACCCCTAATCACCCATCTGGCTCCAACCAACTCCTCCCATCCTCCCCCATCCTCCCCCACCCACTGGGCCCTGCGACCAGGGCATATCGAGCTACCGGTCAACAGCACTCCACCACCCTGTGGGACCCACAGCACCCGCGAAGCTTCGCGGGACCGTCGGGAGGCTGGTGCTGGGTCCGGTCGAACCAGCTCGGAGCTTGGGGGGTTTTGGGTCCATCCCGGCCGGGGCTCCAGGTACGGGACCTCAGGTTCGGTATGACTGGACCCGACGTTTCACCGAAACGAAACGAAGGTACGACTGGAGCCCTAGGGCATCATAAGACCTATCAGTACTCAGTCAGTTGGAGCTCATGAGGTTCTGGGACGTTGGTCAAAAACACTTCAGGAGGTCAGTTGGATTAGGTTCTGCTGGGTCAAACTGAACTTGCAGGGTATAAGTACTCAGTCACAACAGGGAAGGCCCAAAGAATCCATAAACCCCAAAACACACAGATATAAAGATACAAAAAAAAACGTCTGGCCATTTTGCTGTGGTGGGATTGTATTGCTGCCTCTCTCCCAAAATTCTCTCAAACTCCTTTTTGTCTTTTTGAGAATTGAAAATCATCCTCGCAAGTTCCGCGCGTCTCGTGGGCATCACTCCATACCCAGCACCACGCCCAGACCGCCGCGGACCGCGCCCCTGGTGTGTTCCAGCCGTCTTCATTGGCGCTGAGCATTGGCCTCACCCGCTGCGTTTTCCGCGCTGCGTGTTCCGCAGCAGGTGTCCAGGGAAACACGGTGCTCGGTGGGTTCCGCGTCGAAGGTAGCTAGGCCCTAGGCCCAGCTGGAAGGAGACCCAGGTGATCCAGACATGTTGCATGAAAAGAACCTGACAACCGAAGATGGAGTTGTCGAACTGGTGCCATGAAAGTGCAGTTCCCTGTCTGTCTGGTGAACTTATTGGACTGGCCGGACTGGAGCCTTCCGACGGGCCTTTGGAGCGCGCCCCCGCCGGTTCCACAGTGTGCTTTTAGGCACACCGGTTGGTCATCTTCCGATGCGTAGGATCCATTTCTGGCGAAACGTGGTGAAAAACACGTGTCAACTCACTTGAAAAGAATTACACTCCGACTCAATTGAAAGGTTATTACCAGGAGTCACAAGACAGGGTGGTGTTTAGTCCCTACTAAGTGAGTGGATGTGACAGGGGCACCCCGAACCTCCGTGGATAGCACCCCGTCTTGTGACTGCTGGTACAGTATTACACTTGAACTGGTTGGTGGCTTCAACTCACTCACCTCGCCTTTCGAGCTCACCTCGCCTGGCAACATCCACCTGCCCAGCGCAACGCTCGGCTTAGCATTTTTTCGGCTAGCGCGGCGCGGACCCGCGCGTTGCGCGCAACGCTCTGGGCATCCACACGGGGTCGTTTCGGGTGGTGGGGGCAGGCAGTAGAACATGTTGCCTTCCAAGACCGTCTCGTTCCAAAGCATCAAATCGAACCTCGGTCGCCCGTCTGTGTCAAGCGCGTTGTGGCCTTCTCGGCTCGCGCTGAAGTAAGGGGCTTCGCTTCAGGAAGACGAAGGGCGCTGGTTTGGGGGGCACCAAACAAGAGATCTGCCGACTGTTGACGGGCCAGTTTTCGCTGTCCTGGTGGACGACTGCTTGTATTAAGTTGATGCAAATCACATATAATCACATTCATTTACACTCCGATCTTGATATATATCTTGGCAAAATAGACACCACTGTTTCGCCGTTTCTTGTCCTCTTGTTTCTGGCAAACTCCTACGAGCAGCTGGCTCATCTTCCTGGTCAAGGACATGATTTCCACATATTTCCACCATCAGAATCTACCAAAGCTGTGTGTGTATTTATGTTCATTATTTTTGGCTTCTACAATCCTAGAGTGATGTCCAGTCAAAACACATGCTCACAAACCAAACTGTATGTGTTTGACTTTCTAACATCCTTCCCAGATTAACTTAGTCAAATCATACGGGGAACAACTCAGAACGTAACTACAGCTCTACGTTACGCTCTTCTTTGATTGAGAGACCCTTTTTCGAGAAGCAGTGATCATGGCGCTCTCTATAACAGCCTGTAGACTCTAGAGGTGGTACGAGACCTACAATAACTCACTCAGTCAACACAAATTTCACGCACCGAATTGAACTCCTTAGGACCTCAAACCGAAGAACACTGTGGATCCTCCTTGCTCCTATATAGTACGGCCTTGCTCCTAGTAGCGATGCCAGGAGCCCCTAGTAGCGTCCTCGCTCTATAGCTGGTGTCCCCTGGAGCCCCATGCATGAGCGTCAGGTTGAAGGAATCCTTGCTCAGGTAGCCTGGCCTGAGCTCAGATGGAGTACTCAGTCACAACAGGGAAGGCTGACTTTGCGGTAGTGAGAATAAGAAACCCAGCTGATGGAACTGTGGTACCGATTCAGTACTATACAGAAATGATCAACAATTACTGACACTGCCTAATCAAAAGGACACTGGACTATACAGCTAAGAAGTCCAGTGTTTGGCAAAACCTGGCTTGATCAAGCTGCCCCCACTTCACATACCTTGGAAAGGCTCCAACCAGGCTCCCCCCAAAAAGACCCAAGTCTTCAGCTTTCTTCCACAAGGGACGTGTCACGATCATCTGATATCTGATAGATGATAGGTCTATGTTACATATATTACTGTCTATGCTATACACATGCCAGTTGTGCTGAAGGAGTTTGTGATTCAATATTATATTTGCACGACACTCTGACTCCTTTCTTATAACTCTTCATCATCCTCCACATCACATACATTAATCCTTGCGGCATGACAAAACGATCACATCCAGTCCTGGAATTCTTGGAAGCAGCTCGAGCTTCTTCCGAAGCTGCCTTGAGCAGCCACAAAGCTGCCTTCCGTCGCTTGAAGCCGATCGTCTAGGCACAAAAAAATGGTTTTCGGAGGTTCTTCATGGTTCTTCCCATCTGGTCGGTGGCCCTCAAGTCATCCTCTCCTCGTCCTCGTCCTCTCCTCTTCATGCCGAGCAGCAAGTAGGGGAAGCGCCAATTGATGCGTGCAGCACTCAAGACATAGATCACGTGTTCATCGTAGAGCCTCACGTGACAGGTCGCTGTCGCATCGTGTGACAGGTGACGTAGCTGAGAGCTCGTGTGACACACGTCACTGACCACGAAGGACCGCCAATTTTGCATTGTCAGTGAATCCCAACAAAAAGGCAAGTGAATCCTCGATCTGAACATACTAAGTAAACGTCCTTTCTACCTATATGTGTTTGAGGCTGCTGATATGTGTTTCATGAGGCTCCATTCTACCTGTTGATTTGAGGTGTTCCTTGAAAAGCTATACTTGGCATTTGACATTTTGACAGTGTTGTTTTTTACATAAACTGTCTGGTCTGGTGATGTCTTTTCGCGGGGGATGGTCCTTGCAAAACCAGTTCGCTCTGGGCCTCATCAAGTTCGTTGATTGAGTGACACTGTCCACTCAGTGTCAGCTCAGTGTCCACTGGGTGTTGCTCTTGACGCTAGTAGCATCAGGATGGAACCCTCAACACAAAGAAGAAATACAGCAACGCAACTCATGATAGTCACTGACTGAGGCTTATAGATTAATTATGTGACACCAAACAGTGTAAACTTGAATGCTGGTGTCAAGTTCGTGTCCTTTCTCTGGTTGTAGAAAGGCCGCCGCCCAAGCCGGACGAGCGAGGGAAAGGCGACGCCCTTGACGCCCGGGTCACGCCATGGGGCGATGCATTGGCCATGATGAACATGTTGTAGATCGTGGCATTGGTGCATTGCGCCCGGAACTCCTGGCCACCGCAGAGAACCCGACGGAATGTATTGACAGAAGGCGTGATCAGATAGCGTGATCATCTGATCGGATGGTGCTTTTTCCCCGTATACGCGGTTTCAGAAGAGGACGCACGGTGCAAAGAGACGCACGGTGCAAAGAGACGCACGGTGCAGCTTGGAGAGGATATGACTATACATCTATCTGCAAAGCTTGGAGAGCTTGGAGATCGAAATCACATTTAGCCTGGAATCACCATTATTGCACAGTGCAGGGAAGAGTTCACAGTGTGTTAGCCTATTATGTGGATCTTTTTTGGCAACCCAGCCAGGAAAGCCTTTAATAAATTGATTTCCTGGAGGGGTCCCTGACTTGCATCCACATGTATTCTATCAGTATTGATCACCAGCTTCGGTTTCAGAATCCGGTTTAAATACCAGTCACTTCATGGCCGTTAGAATCTCTGCGTTTAAATGCGAACGTCAGCAGCAGTGTTGATGGTCGCCATTGTGCTCAACATCTGGGATGTACTCAATGCAACAAAAATGATATGCCACTATACCTCAATGAAGGATGCCATTTGGCTCAATCTATATAGGGTACCATAATTGTACAACTACCGTCTGCTAGATTCTGCCTCATCTTCAGACACGTCTTCTGGTCTCTTCTTTCCCATCTCTCACATCATCACCAGTCTTCCTTCACCTCACCGCGTCTGTTCCATCGCCGCTCCTCGATCCAGGAGGCCGGCGGCGATTGGACCAAGGGCCTCGGCCGTGACCCGCGGAACGCCCCGAAAAGGCTCGGTCGACTTGACCGGTCGCTTCGGAGGCGGTCGACCGGTCTGTGCTTGGGGTGAGGGTGGGGCACGTTGGACGATGTGCCGCTCAGTGGGCTTCCCTGGAGCAGCATCGGTGCCTATAGCCTACACCTTCACACCTCCAGTCGTACCTCCTCGGGTTCGGTATGACTGGACCCTCCTGGCACCCACCCCAAACATCCCCAAACCCTTTCGAAACGAAGGTACGACTGGAGGCCTAGGGATGGTTTCTTGGAACCAAATGCTCCAAGAAGGGGCGACATCAGGAACCCTTCCGCTCTTGAAATAGTAGACAAGATGCTCCGGCAAGATGATGCTGCCCAAGCCATGAGTGGAGGGTCGTTCAATGTACCTCCGCATCTGAAGCCAGCGTCGTTGACGCGAGTTCAGGGTAAGCATGCATGAAAAACCCAGCTTTATGATGCTCTATGTCTGCTTCAATTTGGAGGCATGAGGTTTTCGTAACAAGAGAGTTTCCTGTTTTCACTTCGATGACTTGGTCGCACTCGACCTGGTCCAGGCATGACAAGTCAAGTCGACGCAAGTAGCAAGCGAGTCGGTCGACCCCGGTCGCACGCGAACCACAAGTAGCCCTGCTCCCTGGACGGCGGAGGTGGACTCGGTCGGTTTGGGGGGTTCATCCAGCTGGGACGGTCCAACGAGGGAAATCACGTGAAAGCAACCAATCTTGGGGGGCAATGGAGGGGTGAAGTGGGTGAAGTGAAATGAACATAACTGAACCATATAGTACCATATGTGGAAATTCAACGAAGCCTCAGAGGGAAGCAATCCCTAGCTCTCCCGGTGTAGTTTCTGACCTTCGTCCAAAAAGCGCCCAATGCAGCCAGGCTGCAGCCACACTCCTTGTCTCTAGCTGTGACTGCTTAAGGGACCAAATAGCACAGAATTCCCTGTTTCCCTGGAAAAACCTGTTCACCGAACTTTCCAACACTCTTGCTTTTGAGTGGGGACACCCCCACTTCTCACCTCCCCCAATTCCAAGGTGATCTGCAATTGATGCCCCTGACTCACTGTGTCTTACCGGCCGTTGACCACCGGTCCTTCCGGGCGACGGAACCGGCGCTGGAACCGTCAAGCGGCGATGTCGTGGGGGTCGCTGACATCATGAACCCCCAGACAACCACCCCTATGGAGGCAGTGCCCCTTAGGTTCAGAACATGTCGCACAAAGCGACAGGATAGGGAGGTGATGGGATGTGAAGGGTTAGGGGGTTAGGGTGGGAGAAGCCGCCCAGGAAGGGGCGACTGAACGCAGCAGTTAAGGGCGCAAGACAATCACTGCAAACATCCAGCTCGTTGTTTCAGGTCACATGTCACATGGAGGAAGTATGTACTGTTTCAGGGTGGAGGAAGTATGTCACATATGTCACATGTGTTCTCTGGAGGTCTGTTTTGGCCACAAGACCGAGGGGACCCGAACTTCATGGCCCTCGCAATCTTGTGGCTTGCTCCCAAGCATCGTGGTTTCAACCCCGCAAGCATGTTGTCTGAACTCTCTTCTCTCCCTATGGATCCACATACCGAACCTGAGGCACGGTGAGGACGGAGACCATTTACGTAGGCGCCAGGAGGGCCCAGTGGATCCCTAGGGTTGGAAGGTGCTCAAAACGAGTGAATCGGTCATGGAACCCCATCCTTGACATGTCGCATGGCAAGCTCATTGCCAGTCATCCATGCTCGAAAGCTCGGAGTCATCCTCCACCGGAAAACCCTCCTGGCCCACCCCAGCGGATCCGATGACAGTCTCTCAGCTCGACTCATCTGGAATCCTCCCGGTTAGACAGGTGCCCCGGACGTGGCTGAGAAGCTGCCAGTGAGCTGCATCTTGGGGTTGAAGGGATTCGTCAAGGGGTACAGTTCCGTGACCTGCCGTGGCGGGTGCCGTTTCACCGTGGCGGGGAGCAGGGGACTGGTATAGTTACTTACCTTAATTAAGGTGGACTCTTGATTGATCTTCCCCCTTGAGAGGCAGAAGAGGATGTCCACTTCAAATGAGGGGGTCTTAATCAAGATTCTACAGTCTACTCTACATGGATGTTGGCTTCGATTTAACCACTCCTGGCCTGATCGGTACATATGCAGACATCCCATGCAGTCTTTGGGACACCAACGACGACCATCCAAAGCTGCGCGCACGGGTCCGTGAATGCGCCAGTTACGCCCGCGTCTATAGATCACGCAGAAATCGCGCCGCAGATGGCGCTGCAGTGCGTTTAGTACTACGACTCGGTCGACTGGCCAGTCGGAACTGATGGGATCGGCGAAAGTGTCGTTTTGGTTGAGAAAAAGGAGTGACACTAGAAGGCCAGGGTGGCCGGTGCAAATGTGGATCATCATCATAATCATGTAGATCATCCAGGAATTCTGGGTGAAATTTGTGCTTCACCTGCTTCACCTGCATCGCTCAAACCGCCTGTTTTGTGGTCAGTTCGTTCGGTCAAACCAAACGATGAGCGAACCAAGCGTCAACCTCCCAGGGCCTTCCAACAGGTGGTTTCGGGACACCGTGACACCACTTACCAACAGTGGTTGAAGAACCCTATCGGTACCAGGTGACGGGTCCTTTTTCAGGTCACTTAAGCCTACCTGCAGGTTGGACGATCCCATGAAACATCCCACCTGGTGCAGCGAAAAACATGGAAAAAGCGTGAACTTCAGGTTGCCAGGACCTCAGGACCTCAGGGCTCCCAGCGAAAAGGAGTTCATCATGTTGCACGTAGTTCGTGGTGAGGACGGTAATGGCATTGCCTTCCGCCTGGGATGGGAGATCACCGGCAGGGGTCAGGCTGCTGGGAAGATTTGATGTGTGTCAAAGGAGCATCCAGGAGTGGCCGAATGGAAGCCTACACCCCGACAGGATGGTTCGTGTGCCAATGTTGTTTGGAGAATTGGCAGGGCTCCCTGCGTGCAAGCACACCAAACTCACCTTCTCTCTCCCCGGAAGAGTCCTTTCTCCCCACCAAAGCTGCTTTCCTCTCCGAAAGGTCTGTAGGTGCTTGATTGAAGGGGTGGCTGATGGGGAGGTGAATCGGTTCAAGCCACCCGGTTTGCAAATTGTTCAGTTCGGTCAACATGCGACAGGAAGCCTGGAAAAGAACAAGACATAGACCTGCATGTCGACGGTCGACTACGCCCACATTGACGGATGTCCACGCAACAACTCTACCAGGACCCTCTTGCTGTGGGTGGTTGGGGGCGAGATCCTATTGACATCCTCTTCACCACCAAGCAGTCATTCATGGACATCCTTCATTATGATTTATAATGATTTATATAAGTGATCCATGGTGATCCGATTAAGGAACAAATTTAATTAAGATGATTTAAGTAGGTCATGTATTGATTAAGGAACTGGACAAACAAACATCACCCCGTTTGTCCCTTTTTCCACAAAACCAAGTCCAAGTAGACTTCCAAGACTCAGACTAAATCAGTTACCATCCTCACACCCCGTCACGTCTAAACCGAACGTGCACATCCATCCGTGCGACGGCCCACAAATCATGCAGCGCCTCACACACGAAAATGAAGTGGCGATAGATGGACACACCTGGCAGCGAAGATAGAGCCGAAAATGGCGGCTGGTAAACTGGTAAACCCCCTGTGTTTGATCTGGAACATTCTGGTAGATGAAAACTCTCGAACACATCCAGCGTGAATCAGTATGATTGAAGTCATGGATGGTATTCAATGGTATTTAGATGTATTTAGTATGTGATGCTCGCTTTCCGCAGTGTACCTGGTACACTATGTACACTGCTGTTGACAGAACCTGGCACCGCATGGCGGATTGGGTCCCTTCTTTTCATATGCATGGCCCGTATCAGCTTCTTGGGGATACAGAGAGGGTGCAACTGTTCTCTGAAGAGAATGACACTCTCATAGACTGCCTGGAATAGTCCTGGAAGTGGAAGCCCCGAAAGGATGACGACCATGAAATCCGAATATCCACGATAAGCATTATTCTTTCAGGGAGTGTATCTTTCACTAGTGAGATAAGCCCACACTCAGTAAGCGTGCAAGCATTGATTGGTGTCCCTCGCTGGAATTTCATCAGCCATCCGCATCACATGACATTCAGGATCACAGGCAGATTGTAGCAGCTTGTAGCAATGAGGCTCAACTGGTGAGTTGTCTGAGATTGTCCCGAACAGACCCCTTAGATATCGACTCATTTCTCACACAAACAAACCAAAACGAATTCGTTAACAACACCGTCCCGCTGCAGACCAACTCCCACCCGTCACTTCCCAGCGTACCCACGGGGTCATACAAACTCATGTTGTAGTTGACCTCGGAGGTCGATTCCGGGCCACGTGACCGGTGTTAAGTCGCTGCATCAGTTGATGCAGTGCCGATCCAGTGGGTATTACAGTGGGATCCGTTCCTTCTCAGGTTCACTGGACCCGAACATGGCGCACCTACACATCGTGCCTGAGATCAGTGGGTATCCAGTGGGTATCCAGTGGGATCCGTATCTTCTCAAGTTCAGTACTGGACCCGAACATGGTACCTACACATCGAAACCAACAGCTGTCTCCAATCACCTTCGAAGGTACGACTGGATGTTCCGGGTGAGAGAAATGTGGGACTCGTATTGAGGTCATCAGACTGGATGAAGATACTGGGATGCTACTTGCAGGGTACTCTCCGAGTATGCAGTGTCTTCATCCATACATACAGTATGATGTCTGATCGGGTGTGGTCAGATTGGGCGTGAGCAGCGGTCAAAACCGCGGGCTCAAGCCACGTTTGTGCAACACCAACAACTGCACAGCCAGCCGTGCTTTCACTAAAACATACTAAAACTAAAGCCATTGGTTGGAAGGTCTCCCTTGTTCAAAAACACACACCCATATCAATTCTAGGACCCAACTAGAACAGCAAATCATCGTTCTGGAGCTTGCTCCCTTATCAAAACTTGCTCTGTTGAAACATCTGCTTCAACCAAACCACGCTGTCTTCCCTGGCCAAACATGCCAAACCAACACGGAGCACGAGCACGATTTCTTCCTCATCCGGTGGCTTCACCACGCTTGACCACGCTTGACCCCTGGACCGACCACGGTCCACGCCGTCGTCGCCCGACGGCACCGTCGTCCGTCGGAGCGTTGGCCGAGTTCGGTCGCTGCCACCGGTGGACGTCGGGTCCCCGGAACAGGACACTGAAGTGGTGGATGTGCGCGGTGCAGGTCGTGGTGGTTCTGTTCGGTACGAAGAGAAGCTTTTCTTGAGTGAGGTTAAGAAGTAGATGAGTAGATGGCACCCTCAAGTTGGCAGCACCAAAAAGTAGTTGATGTCCAATTTATGTTCTTCTACTTGCAGGACTGACTAGCTTAGCAGCAATAATTACGTTCTGCAAGTAGAATTACATGGCTCATGATGTTCCTTTCACCAAACATCAAGACAGGACTCACAGATCTGGAAAAAAAGAACCGAAGGTCCAACGGGTCGAACGGGTCCAACGAGTCGAACGAAGGTCCCACGCCCTGCCTACACGCCCGGATCTCAAGACTCCGCTTTCATGGACCCGGATCGGGCAGGTCTCAAGACTCCCCTTATCTCCCAGACGCGACCGGGACTGGCAGGACGGACTGCCGAGTTTCACGGCCAGGGGTGGTTGGTTGAAAGGGGGGTCTTTATGGGGCGGCAGTCCTATGGCAGTCCCATGGAGTGTATGGGTATAGAGGATCCAACTATTAACACCTTCATACCGTACGACTGGAGCCTTTGGAGAACAAACCTAACATGAAACATCATGAACTACCATGAACAACCAGGATTCCTATTATCCGAATCGCCTCAGCCCCACGCTCCATTCAGGTCTTTGTAATATTCGCCACCCCACATGAGCGTCGGCCTGATCGCAGAGAGGGGATAGTGGCAACACCATCGCAGGAAAACCATACCGTGCAAGTCAGTCTGGAGCTCATTTTACTGCAGTTGGTCATACACAAACACTATGTAAGGAGGTTTCAAAGAAACAGGTTTCCTAGGTCTTTCGACTTGTAGGGATATAAAACCATATGAAACAATCCTAGTGGATCCAGTTCTGATTCTGATCCAGTGACCTCTACTAGTAGGTCACCGGCTTCCAAAGACCTTCCACCCGTTTCCGTGGACCACCTGAAACACCGATCCCCGGATCGGGCTCTGGATCGGGCTCATGGTCTTGATGGGGCGGCACAGGACTGCCGACCATCCATGGGACTGGAATACCCAGACACGACGATGACTCCAGACTGCCACAGGACTGCTGGTTGACCTTGACCCCCTTTCAACCAACCACGGCCTTTTCTCGGCAGTCCGCCAGTCCCAGACAGGTCGTGTCTGGGAAGAGTAAAACCCAGAGGATCCTAAGCCGCCACCAGGTTCGTAAGGATCCCAAGCAGCCACTTGGATGGTGTAGCTTAGACGTCGAAGTGGAAGCACTTCGACTCCCAGCGACATTCTGGGAACTGCCTGCCTGGATACCCTGAAAAATGTACGTATGATTTGGGTATATTTGGGTATACCCAACCTCCCACCCTGTAGTGGATGATGATGGGGGATGTTGCAGGCCGAGAGGTCTAGAGTCTAAGTGATTTTCTGGTTGACCGACCGGTACAGGTATATATAATTAATAGATACATAATAGGACAGTCCCAATGTATACGACCCTAATCCAATCAATGTACAGTGTAAGGAACTTACCATAATTTACCCATCTATGACCCTAATGTAGGAACGTCTGATGACTCATGAACTACCCTGGTAAAATGAGTCATGACTCATGACTGGACTTCAAGGGAGACTGGGTGGTTTATGAAACCCAGTCTCACCCCACGGATTCTGAGGGGTCTTTCTCAGCATCAAACCAGACTGGAGCAGCACTTAACACGACGACATACTTTGGAAACTCAGAGCACCCCAGTAGCAAGACTCCCCAGCACCCCAGTGAGAGCTGCATGTGGTTTTCCCCGACTCCCTGAGTTTGGAACATGAAGCTTAACTGTTCTTGTCGAGTGGCGGAGGGCCCCTCAATCCCCCCAAAACAGGGTGACCTACAGCTGATCCACGTCCAGCTGCACCCTCCTGGGCTCTCCGGCCGTTCCCCTCGATTCATCGCCAGGCTGGGATCTTTCCTGCCGACGGCGGCCGGGACCGGAGTCACCGGATCCGACCGACGGAGGTGTCCAGGTGCCAACAGGGTAGAACACTTCTTCCGGATCCGCCACTGGGTACGGTGAGGACAGAGACAGACCGCCGGAGTGGACGGAGGTCCAAGCGGTGTCCGGTCCGGGAGGCGTTCCCATGGGGCGTCCACACCGGGCGGGCGAACGGAGCATGAATGGGAAGGCAACACGTGCACCAAACCGTGGCTACGTCTCGTAGACCAGGAGCGGAGCTGACAACGGGTGATCGGTGCGACTGCGACCGTTGAAGTCTGCAAGAGCTTTCATCTCGGAGACCTGTTGGAAGGTGCTGGTATATGATACACAAGTAATTATCGCTGGGTACTCAAGACGTAACCCCCGCAGATACCCCGCGAGAGGAGTGTGATGCATGGAGATACTGATCGTTTCCCGATGTTTGTTGGATCAAAATTGACTGGGTACGGCTCCCTACCTGTGCATGCTTCCCACCTTTAAGACAGAAAGAACCTTTCCGCGCCACCCCTTCAGGTAGCAGCTTCCACATTTGGGGGGGGAAACCACGCAACCGCGGACCGTCAGCCGCGCCGGAGACCCGCGGACCGTCCGGCCGCCGGACCGTCTGTCCTGTATCCCAGCAACAACTTCACCAGACGATGGTTGCGCCGATCACACACCTGAGTCGCAGCGCAGGCAGCGAGATCTTGTGTGGTCAAAGGATATGTAAACGTAGGATCTGCGCAGGCCCAAGGGAGGATCTGAGCATGGCAACCCTGGTTGGTGCTTCAAACCATCTGTGGGGATATAGATATGTGGCTTGTGTTCGGGCAGTCATATGGCGCATGGTGAACTACTATCAGTCCATATGGTGAACTACTATCAGTCCATATGGTGTCATCCCACCCAAGAAATGCCTCAGTCACCATGGGTGCTGATTCTGGATGTTGAGATCAGGTGCTGGAAGTGTGGCGTGCAAAATACTCCGATGAGCAGAGTGTGCCCCGGGCGGGTGGAACAGTTCCAGTTCCAGTTCCACGCCGTCCAACACAGGAGACTGGGGAGGGGGGAGGGGAGTTCCAGTTCCAGTTACAGTTCCACGTCGTCCAACACGGGAGACGGGGGAGGGGGCAGGGGAGTTCCAGTTCCAGTTCCACGTCGTCCAACACGGGAGACTTCCAGTTCCACTTCCAGTCAGTTTAGCGTCGATGTTTTTTTTTTCCGGGAGGGGGTGGAGTTCCAGTTCCAGTTCCAGTTCTGGGCCCGGGTCTGGACGTGATTGCCAACGTCAGTTTAGTGTCGTCGATGTGTGTGTTTTAATTCCGGGGGGGTGGAGTTCCAGTTCCAGTTCCTCTTCCAGTTCCAATTCTGGGTACGAGTCTGGACGTGATGGCCAATGTCACTTTAGTGTCGATTGTTGTTTTTTGCGGGGGGGGGGTTCCAGTTCGAGTTCCAGTTCCAGCGGGGTACACTATGCCGATGAGCACCCTTAACAATGAGAACTTCATCCCAAGCATGAGGTGTGAACAGTCTTGACCCACACACTCACACACAACTACAAGATGTAGACAGTCAGGCTGTTGACTATTTAATAACCCCCCTACCTGGATGGCCCTAAATGTCCATATATGGTTTGTACTAATCAACAGCTGAGTAGATCCCAACCTCCCAAGGCCCGTTTTGGATGATGATGTGGCCGGATGTTGCAGGCCGACATCCATCTCTAAAGTATACCATGCGTTCAGAGTAGATGGCACAAGTTACCCCAAGTAGATGGTGTATTCTACGGAGCCCACACAGACATCGCAGACATCCACAAGGGGGTGCCAATGCCAGACATCCTCTGAAAGAGCAGACCTAGTGCCATCCTTGGGGGTGCCAGTGCCGTCCTTGGGGGTACCCACTGGTGCCATCCTTGTCTGCTCTAGTTAGGGTGTCTAGTGCTTTGCTTGTTGATGCTCTTCTTTCGGTAAAAGCTATGAAATTCATGGTTGGAATCCCTGGGGTTCAATGGGTGTGTATTTCAGGAAGAACTGCTGTCGCCCTGGCTGGGTAGACTATTTCCCGAACCGAACCCACGGGGGTGGTGTCTTATACCCCAAATCCGGCCCAAGCTTTTGATGACTTCTTTAAGACATCCCAGCTACAACATCCAATCCAATCATCAATATCATTCAACATCATCAATTGTTCCATCAAAAGTCCATGTCCTCAGCTCGTCTCCACCATCCGCAGCGCGCTGACGCGAGCGCTTGACTAGGGCCCCTCAGGTCCGGGAGTCCCCGCGAAGACCGCGGCCATGACTGGACCGAAGAAGCTTTCATCTGCGACCAAAGAATTCATGTAATTAAACAAACTGCATATCTTAGTTCTATTCTATGCAGCCACACCCGCATCTTAGAAATGAACCTCACATTCTGACGCCAAAACCTGCCATGCTTGCTGGCTAGAAGGCCATGCTTGCTCAAAGTGGATGCTTTCCGTCGGCCAGTGGGGGCATGTCGTTCCCGCCTGTGTGGGCCATCACGGCTACACCCATGGGATAGTTGAAGCCGCTCTGGTTCGTCCTCACCTGGCGAGTCGTCGAACTTCCCTGCGCGTGTGCTGGAAGGTGATTCCCAGCTCGGAGTTGCGTGCGTTTCCGGAACGTAAGGGAAACAATAGGAACATATGTCCCCATGGTGGAAAATAGACATCACCAGTGGTCAGTGTGTCATTCAACAATCAGATTCTGTCAATCATCACAAACTATACCTTGTGTTACTTCAACGCAAAAGAAGCTGAGAGTGATCCTTGAATCCAAAAGACCTCACTGTCGGGTATTTTTGCCTATTGCATCCTAAAGCCCACACGGATGACCTGTCGCCGTTTTTTGACGCCTTCCAAACCCACCAACTGGGCCACGCCGTGCTCGCCGTCTTCGCTCGCCACTCCGGGACCCGCGCGGAAGTCCCGCGCCTCGCCCGTGGCTCCATAGGATTCGATGTACTGCAACGTGGGACCCGTCGCGTTGATGAACATCACGCGATGGTTCCCTTGCAGCGTAGCGCGGAGCAGTGATGGTGCCGCGGAGGAGCGTCGTGTGCGGAGGCCGTGGCCGTGCGGTTCTTACGACGCGTCGGAACCCGCGTCGGTCAGGTCCGGTGACGTGAAAGCTTCTTGTTCACGGGACAGGGCAGAAAGAAAACTGATGGGTAGTGGTACACAATTCGATATAACTCATCATGAATAATGCAATATATATATATATCCCTATAACAGGTCCAAAGACCCGGTCAAACCTGGTGAAACTTACCTCCTGGATAGTAGTGTTTCTATTATAACCAACTCTAGTAAAATGAGCTCATTGACTTGTAGGATCTTGTAGGATATATGTTTGACGTTATTTGAAATTATAGTTTTTTGCATGACTTTACGTGATCTTATATTTCTGACAACGACTATTCCGTATAATGTCCACAAGACGATCTCCTTTTAGATCTCTTGCACCAATTTGGTCCTTTGATGTCCTTATTGAACCTTCTCCATGGCCTCAGCACCATCCGCTCCCTCCAAATCGGATGTCTGCAATCAACCAGGTCAGTACTTTCCCCTACAGGTCAGGAACTTTCCCTACAGGTCAAGAGCTGGTCAGTGTCACAAACTCTCGCACTTCTCAGTGGACTTCAGTGGACATCAATTTGTTTTTCATCACGTCTGGCATCTGACGCACGTCCGACGTACTGGACGCACTGCGGAGATGAAACTCCCAGCAACACAGGCGCTTGCTTCATGCCAACACGTCAGACCGTTGCGGTCTTCCGGTCTTCTCCACTTGCTCGGGTGCTCCGGCTCGGCCTGTGTCGGACACGAACCAGTAGCGGTCCCGCGCATGGGGGAAGAGCGGGGTGATCTCCAAGGCATCGCCTCAGGTGAAAGATGCGTCGGACCCCACCGCGGGTTCCTTCCAGTGTGGGACGCAGCACCCGCCCGCCCTCCAACAACTGGGTGTCAGCATGTGTCAACGTGCGAGTGGAAATTCTAAGAGGTCTCTTGAAATGAGTGTCTTGACGAGGAAGACGAGGTCTTAGCCTCGCCCTGGCTGGATAGCCTGGACTGGTCTACTTCCGGAACCTTCCAGGAGGACGAACTGGGAGGTCTCCCATGTTTCCCTACTATCCCTATAGGGATCCAAGTACCTTCTCAGAAGGTGATTGGAGACACTTTATGTAGGTTTTGAGGGTATGGAGCCACATACCGAACCTGAGGTACGGTGAGGACGGAGACTATTATAGATCCATTTATGTAGGCGCCAGGAGGGTCCAGTCGTACCTTCTGAGAAGGTGGCAGTGGATCCATAGGGTATACACACCATAGTTTATGCTCAAATCATGGAACTGGAAGGCCTGGCATCTTGAAAGCAAATGTTCTTCTATAGACAGTGGTCGCAGTTGGTTCACTTCCATGTGTGATGCGGGTAGAGATGGTTCTTGCTTTTTGTTGGTGCCTGAAAAAGAGATAGAGAGAGAGAACACCCCAAACCCATCAAGTTCTCCAATCAGCAATGACAAATACGATGCCCTTTCTTTAAAGTGTCTTAAATTCATTTAAAATTAACAATCAACAGCCAGCAGTCACAAGACGGGGTGCCGAGCTTGGAGGAAGTCGTGCCCCTGTCACATCCACTCGGATGGAACGAGCCACACCACCCCGTCTTGTGGCTCCCACGCGTTGCATGGGGCTGTTGTACGCCAAACATCTGATCCGACTGTTCCAGGTCACTGATGAAACTGTGGTTCAAGGCCTTGTACCTGCCAAACGCCGAAGACGGAGGCGAGGATGACTGACCAAGACTGTGTCTGTCGGTCCCCAGCGGCTGGCGTTCGCCCATTGGACATGATTTCTGCTCGGATTCGTTCCAACAGGGTCGACCGCGCTGTGCGCGTCGACCCTTTGAGGTGTCCGGCAGTTGCTGCAGTGGCGTATCTCTTCCGTGGAAGAAGCTATAGCTCGCTTCTTCTCAGATTCCTCTCCAAAGCTCGAATCCTTAAGCCTTCACCGAACCCGACAAAGCCGATGATCCCCCGGACGACTTCTATTTTGGTGGCCGGAAAGCGGGTGGGGAGGCCCCAATCACTGTCAGCCACATGCTTGATGACCCCAGACTTCCTGGTTTTGTAGTAGTCAAAACAGTAGTGGTTGTTCGGCGAAAACTTATAAACATCAATGGTGGTGGTTGCAATCCGAGGGATCGCATTCTGCATTACTCATTGTCTTCTGCTGACTGATACTGCTTGCTTTCAGCAGTGGATCTATCAATGGATCCTCGGGTGTTGGAACAATGTATAAGGCACTCTATTCCGCTGAAAGAAGCGCGGAGAAGGTGAGAACATAATTGCTTGTGTGGTTGGTATAAGGTGTAAACAAGTCCAAATTCCCAATATACAACGAGTTTGAACTAATGTGTGACTGAGGCAGGTGTGTATGACTTCAACTTGATACCTTCCAAGCCAAACTGTCCAATTCCACTGCAACATTTTCCAGTTCTGCATCTGTCAACTGGGGTATACTTCTGCTACTGTGTATCCTATCTAGAAGTGCCTACCGGACCATTTGCTATACCTGGTCGTGCGAGGCATAGCCTGGTTACGAGCGCACTGTGCCATGTAGCTGGGGAAGTAGAGCTGGGCTTCACCTGATGTGCAGCGCAGCGAGCCGCTGTGCTCAAGAGTGGGAACCGGGAGAATTCCAGTAAGTTCTGGAAAACATGCATCCTGAAGGAAGATTCACCCACCAGGTACACCAAAAAAATGAAGGGGCGCTCTGCTAAGAACCACAGCCCTTTGGGCTATTTGAATGATGTTTGCGCAAACCAATCCAATCTCGTCACATGCTGTTGCATTCTGCTGCGAATTGGAACCGCTCGGCGCTCCAATTCTCGGGTCCCCTGGCCCAGGATCGGCGCTTCCTGTGGCTCGTTCTCCGGGTGCGACCGATGGGTCGTGGCTAAGCGGGTCGGAAACACGGACGGCTAAGCCAAGGAGAGCGGGGGAGGGATGTTTTCCAGGATGAAACGGGAGGAAGAAACGGGTAGCATGACACCTCCAAAAGAATTCAACACTGCTTCCTCCACCAGTGTCTGCTCATTGGTTCAGAAGCTGTGCGGCATAAACTAATCCAAGTCTATAGGCTGATCCAAGTCTGGCTGACCAGGCCCAGACTGAAAAAGGATCACATGCCATGCCCAGCCAGCTGACCCAGTGACTTGACCCAGTGACTTGACCCAGCCAGCTGATCCAGTTCAGAATCCGGAAGAAACACCTCGAAGGAACCGTCCTTGTGTCACCACACGGTCGAAACGGAAAGGCAAGGGCACGGCGGTCTTAGATGGGGGTGTCTGTGATTCCAGGGCCCCCTTTGGGGGCGAAAGATGTTTTTTGGTTTGACTTGCCCCAAGAAAAAAACACCGGCTTCAGCTTTCGGAAACCAAAAGGACATGTGCGAGGGCAAGGTGTAGTGAGCGGCACCCCCACCATGTTCATCTTCCCCAAGGTGGCCAGCTCCAGCGTGAGTGACTCCGAATCGCTCCAGGAGATGTTAAACCTGGGAAGAGGGCGGCGACCACCAAACCTGGGAGAGTTCAAGGTGTAGAAGGGGGCGACCTCGTCCATGACGCGACATCACAGCCACTATGGGAAAAAGAACTTAAACTCCTATAGAATTATCATTGACTCCTGGACGTTAAGCTGCTACAATTAGTGTTCCGCAGCCAAAACAGCATCAATTAAACCATGATTCTAAGGAAAAAGAAAGAACCAAGAGAACACTGGGAGTCGGGTTGAGACCGAACCGAGCTTCCGGCGCTTGGAACATGCCTACCCTCCAGGCCTCCAGGATTGCTCATCTAGGGTTGGTCAATGGTCGTCCCAGACTGCTTGGCGACGAACACGCGAAAGTCCTCCCAGGACATCCTGCTGAGATGTTCTTGTCCACCGACACCATGCGAGAACGGAACCCTGGGTAATGTTTGTTGGGCGATGTTGGAGTCCATCTCCAGAACAACATCTGTTCAACGAGAGATGAAGAGCAGCCTGGAGTTGAAAAAACATGAAAAAAAAACTTGGGAGGGGAGCTCATCCAGCTCACCCGCCCATTGCGAGAACGGAGTGATGTATTTTTGGTCGCTGGCGCGACAGCCGGAGTTTTGGTTTCCCGGCTCTTGCAAGCGATGGCGATCCACCTGAGAACGAGCCATGCAACGATACATCCGCGATGTCAATCGACGGATGGTCGGTCGATGGATCAATGGGTGTTGCTTTTCCGCCAGGAATCGGAATCGCGATGGACCAAATCCTCAGAGATTGATGTCTATCCCGTCTATAGTCATTATTATGCCAGTCAGAGCAGTCTATTATGTAATTTACAATAATACTGTTTTACTATACTCCATGTAAAATAACTTTAGTGGTACAACGGTATAACAAAGACCATCAACAGATTAGGTCAGACTCGGTGACGGGAGTTCCCTTCACTGCGTCAACATTCAGTCTTTGGAGCTTGAGCTTGAGCATCGTATGTCCAGTCGTGATGTTTTTAAGGACAATTAGGTACAACGTCTCTATCCCAGACTCTCTTTTGAACCCCTGAAATTCACCCAATATGCAGCTAAATACATAATGTCGCATGTATAAATTAGTATAATGGGATGGAATACAAAATAAGTTTCACCAAAGTTATTCACACACCCTGGTTAGTTTAATGGGACGGAATAACAATAAGCTGTTTCACCCAGTGTGTTGTTAAATATCTTTGCATGTTCTATTCAACTGCTATTGTTGCCCTTTAAGATCCGTGCTTAACTAGTAACTAGAACGACTACCTACCACCACTACCACGACCACTACCAATACCACCACCACCACTACGACTACTACGTACTTCTACTACTACTGCTACTGCTGTTGCTGCTACCTTTTGCACCGCCACTGCCACTCCGTTCGGAGAGAACGACCAAGAGAGAAGACCAGGCAACATCAGGAGAAAGGACGTGAATACCGATGTCTCTGCGAGCAGAAACTTCCAGATACCCTGCGTTTTGTGTCTGAAAATCTCGCGGGTTCTGAGTCCGAACCACCCAACTTGGATTTGCTTAATTAAGAAAACTGTGAAAAGATTGCAAAAGCAAAAGACCTCTTCCCCATGCCAGGAAAAAAACACACCCAACCTGGAGGAAAAAAGAATCACCCCGCCCCCCCCCCGGCATTGCCCCCCCGCCGCCGACGAAAAACGACCCATCCCAGCTGGACCCATCCATCGTTCGCCGGGCCAATCCGGTCGTCCGGGTGACCCGACCACCACGAAACTGGTCATGAGCGGCATCACCGAGGCCACCTCGCCTGCCGAAAGGAAGCGGAGGATCAGCGGAGGAGAAAGGAAGTGGAGATTCAGAAGCGTGGCGGCTTGCATTCAGGGCAGCTGGAAGAATGGGATGGAAGAATGGATTTGGTGGGTCTATCTCCCTAGGATTCCTGGTCCGGTGATCAACGACCTGAAAACCGAAGAACTCCATATACGATCTATATACATTGAATGACTGAGGATTTCAACATGTGTTTTCAACGGAAATGAATACGGTCTATATCATTGAATTACTGAGGATCCAACGGAAATGTATAGATGGGTTCATCTGTTTTCAGGATCTGGACCTCTGGAGCCTCTGCTTAAACCTCAAGAAAGGATAGATCTTTGACTCACGTTCTCAAAGGCCACTTGTTTCTGTCCGGAATAGAGGAAAATGGTCTTCCAAGGGACCATGCCATCCACTTCCATGTTGGTTCCAAAGAGAGAGTAGATCTCCTATTTCAAATCATAAAATTAAAAAAAAAGTCAAACACCTCGCGACGTGTCCCCTTGTCGCTCTCGTGCGCGTCGGCGCGTCGTATTCCGCCCATGAACTGGGTGCCCCTGGCAGAACTGCGTAAAGTCGAGGCAACTGTTTCCGCGGAAGCTCCGGACCTTGAAAAACAGGCTATGGCCCGGGTGCAGAAGTGGCTCTGTCACCGCCAAGCGGCTCTGGAAGTGGCGGTGTAGGGAGTGGGTTGGAAGTTCTTAGCCTGTTTGGAGCTTAGTTGGTTGCTTCTTGGATGCTTTTTGTCGGTGCATTGCCACAAACTATCCATGAGGAAGGGTCATCAAAATGCCCTCTTGTCACACAAGTGATGTCATTCATCAGAGATGTACCTGGATCTTCCAACTGTGCAAAATTGTTGCCATGTTCATCTATAAAATTCTTTAAATACCAGCCAAAAGGCAAACAAAATGCAAAGTTGGAAGATCCAGGTATAGGGCTCCCACTGATGCATGGAATGATCCCTCCAAGTGGATGAGTATCTTGGAAGAAGGCCAGCAATTGGGAGTCTCACAAGCATCTCTTCTTGGCAAGTGTCTAGCTCCTTTAGGTACTGAATCTCCTGGAGCGCGCCCTGAGTCGGCAATGGTCTTAAGTTTGGAGTGCCTAGAACGTAGAGTGTAGCTGTTAGGATAAGTGCTATCTACAGTGGTCCCCAAACTGACAGAAAACAACATGCTCGCGACAGTTCAACCTTCCGCTAGTCCTTTTCAATCGGTTGTTTGGTGTCTCAAATTTAAGTAGAAACTATAAATTCAACTCAGTCCAAACTCCAAACCAAACCTAGACATCATCAGAACCCTTTTTTGTGGGCTCTCCAATAGGTACCCCATGGTACCCTTCCTTTTTTCAGGTCCTCTTGGAAGACGCGCTCCATGCCGCCACCGGCCGCTGCCGGCCGATCCGGTCATCGTCTCGACCGAGCACCCGGGCGGGCGGGAGTGTCACCATCCATCGGGCCTCGTCATTGCCCTCAGAGACCACCTGAGACGTGGACGGACGGACGCCGCTGAGGCCGGGGGAGGCCCGACTTCCACAACTCGACCTTTGGTCCGAACTGACCTCATCTCATGTGGGATACTAATGAGAGGGATACAATTTTCAAGTTCACCCCTGTCAGTTCAGAACTGACCAAGAAAGATTCTAGTTTAAAGATCGTCAGATGTCGACCCGCATGCTTCCATCTAAGAGCAGTACTGACTCAGTACTGTAGTACTGGAAGCCATCATCCAGAAAAACCTGGCTGATGCACATAATTACGAACATTAAAGCTTGCATCATCTGCATCAGCAAGTCACAAAGGAATGGCATCTGAAAACCACTCCGTTCAAAGAAACTAACTTCAGCTTGGCCTATCGGCTGGCTTTCTAGCATGTTCTTTCCTCCACACTGAAGGTTCTGACCCAGCATGGCCACGGTGTTGGACCTGTTTGGAACATGCTTTCTTCGCGGGCCAATTCGCCACATGAATCATCCCTGAAGCAAAAGGAATTAATTCCAAATGTGCCACATGAATCATCACGTCTCCTTCATCCTTCCTATTCCAATCACTCCATGGGACTGACATATTTACACACATTGACCCCGTTTCAACCACCAGTCCCATTAGTCGTGTCTGGGCATTCTAGATCTTCCAGTCCCATGAAGTGTCTGGGCAGTATAGGTCACTCGTTTTTCGATCTCTCTTTTCCGCCAAGACACGTTCAGCTGGTAGACCGGGCCACCCTTCTCCACCAGGGTGACCACTTCCGCCGAGGCGGTCAACGACAAGAAGGAGATGCTGGTCACCTGGCGTGGAAGCGACCAGCTGGGCCACAGTGCTCTGGTCTCTGTTTTGGTTGTGGAGGAATTTGCAGAGCATGCCACTGCAAGGGTTCATGTTTTCTTGTAATATTTTGTGTAGTGATATTCAATGATACGCAGCAATTCACAAAGCAAAAGAAATACGACATGCATTGGGAACACTCACCACAACAAAAACTAAGTCCCTTTTCATTCTCAGACCACTTTGTGGGGTTCAACCACTCCAATCGGATCCACGCCAGATTAGCCAAATTTCACGTGCTCAAATCGAACTTCTGCTGGGCGACACTGTGGTGATGCTTGAAACCCTTAGTAAGCATGAGGCGAACCTACCGGTGTCCTGGCTGGAGATCCACTAGTAGTGAAGGGTCCATTGCTCACCTTTTGGATGGTCCTGGAAAGCTATACTGTCCAGAAGGGGCTTGAAGGCGAGTCGACACAGCTTTCCCAGTGGCTCGCTCGAGTGTGGTTTCTCCGATTCAAGAAGATCTAGCTGTCGACTGCGAGCAGCGCTTGAGCAGCGCTGTCGACTGGGCAAACACCTTGAAGTTGGCCCAAAGGGCCACCTAAAGAATGATGACGATCCCAGTGCAGTGCCATGGCGATTCCCTCAAACAGGTCCCAACGCCCCTAGGTCCCAACGGGTCCCAACGCCCCCCCATAGGCCAGCACCTGCGAATTGGTCCCCACCAACTGGGACATGGGAAGCTTGCCACAAGGCTTCATGCACACCTGAGGCGTCGCTGGAGCCGAGCCCAGTGGCTTCATGGAGCCCCAAAAACAAGTCGCTTTCTCTTGCAGGAACCCTCCTGTCTGCATCCTTGGTAGGCAAGGTCATTCACGCGATTCGGTTCCGTTTACATCCTATACATCCTATCATCTTGGCTCCATCAAGTCAAAGGCGTTGGCCCAAAAGCCCATCAACATCAAGCAACTATCCAAGCGCCTCCCGACACAATAGACCTAGACAATACTTAGACCCTCGTTAGGCAATAATATCAAATAATATCTGCCTAACTTCATTTAGGCAGAAACTTCTGCCGAAGCACGGACAAAGTCACCTTTACCCCAAATAGGAACATATTTCTGCCCAAGAAGTTGTTCGAGGAATTGAATTGATATACTTTTTTTCTGATTTCAGACCACTCAATAAAAACATGTTGCTTCTTGGCATTGCAGTTCTTGTATTCGCCAAACACACAAGTCTGGACATCACTCGGAGCACTTCAGGCTGCCCCGCGTTCTCCAAGCTGAAGATGGGGCCATAGGTCTGATTTCAGCGTTTTCGGCTCGCGGCTTGCTCCAGGGTGGAGGTCTGTTTTCTTCATGGTGGCGGTCGGTTTTCTTCATGAGCCATCCCCCAAATCCCCCGAAGCTATGGAAAGGCTGAAGGCTTCGAGTAAAGGACCTCGAACATGTTGGGGATCCGACCCCTGCGAAGAGGTTGGGTGCAAAGATGGTCTGGGTACTAGACTAGTCATTGAAACATGGACCTTCTCAACAGACATGTGTTCCTTCTATGTCCTTCTATATGTCCTACACTCATCCCCAGATCCCCCGGATGCGATCGGAGCGGTCGTGGTGTCGGATGCCTCGAAGCACATGTTCAAATGATGTTTAAGGCTGTGAAAGGTTTTTACATGGTGTTTTTTACCAAAGAACCATTGCTTTACTGGAAGTTGTATAGTTGAAGTTAGATTACAAACCAGGTCAACCCTTCTTTGTGTGGTCTTGGAAGGCTCAAGTTTGCTGAGTTCACCAGTGTTTGGGGGGTTCAAGGTGCAGGAAACTCCCTCTGCCAGGAGTTTCCTGACGAGTTGGTGAGATAGGACAACTGATTAAGCATGGGCAACTGACTGAGCAGAGGGGGGACGGGTTTTCACACTGGACCTTCATGTCCCTAATTCGCAAAGAACCAATGCCACTCTTTTCACTTCATTCCCGAGAACAAAAGTCAGAGCAACTAAGGTCGGATGCAGTATGCTGCACTACTTACAACTTGGAATGGTCTTCACACACATGTGCAGAACATTTGGCTGTTTCCTTGGCAGAATCTGCTTGTTCACCACTTCTCTCAGCCTCCAAAAGCGCTGCTCGGCCTCGCCTCCGGCCGAACCCAAAGCACGGCCCCGGCCGCCCCCCGGTCTCTCTCAGCTCGGAGCCCCCGACGGCGGGCTTCCGCGCCGGGCGGCAGCGGACCACCCGGATGGACCATTCCTCCTGGGTGGGTGGCCGAATCCCGGACGCAGAATGGGAAGCAGAAGGGAAGCAAACGGTCAGTGGTGGGATATGAAGGAAGGTGGGAAGATGGGGTTGAAGGTGGTTGAAGGAAGGTGACAGCTGGTGACGAACGAGAATGATTCACATACGACAGTTTCTAGTTTCAGAACCCATGGAAATGGGTGCCAAACCCGACAGAATCAATGGAATGGTTTGTTTGGCACGGCATTGAATAGTCAGCTGATTCGCTCACTCCATACTTCTCATGTAAAGACCTACCCACTGCATACCCCATGTGATTCTTTGAGATTCAGATGCCCATCCCTCAACCAATAGAGTGTACCCTCAAGTGTCCCCCAGCCCCTCAAGTTACGCTCTGCAGCTTCTAAACCCGTGGTCTCCAAAGAGCAGCGCGGTTGTCAAACCAAACCCGGTGGAGACCGCCCTCGATGGGCATCCCTGAACGGCCCGAACACCGGCGGAGGAGCGGCGCCGAACAGCGCGCTGCGCCGCGCTCCGCCTGGTCCCAGTCGAAGGTACCACAATCATTCTGCACCTCTTGCAAGCGTCGCTCCACCACTTCCGCCTTCGGCCAAAGCCTCGCCTCGAGTTTTTCGGAGTTGGCGTTCCAGAAGACCGGGAAAGGCCGAAGACGGCCTTTGACTGAAGCCAAGTGAAGACCATTTGCTAGGTCCAAGACTGGTTGTGGAGGTTCGGGGTGACCCGAATCCAGCACTTAGAGTCTGAAACCTCTCTTTAAACACTGGGACTGTGGTGATTTCTTGCTGGGCATACCATGGCATTGCTGGAAGTGAGCTTGGTCATTCAGCCACATCAATTCTTCCACCACAATTGATCGACCTACTATATAAGACCTTCCACCAGTTCTTCATCAAATGAACACCCCAAAAAGCTTAGGCCAGTTCATTCATCAAATGAACACCCCAAATAAACTTAGGCCTCCAAGTTCTATTCGCCAGTTCTTCAGAACCTTCCTTTGTCCGGTCCCCTTGATCGGGGACCGGTTCAGAACCACGGTTCGGTTCGTGCGGTCAACCAGCACCACGAGGGTTCTACGAGCGGCCGGAAGAAACCGTGTCCCATGAGTTGTTCAAGGTTTTCACATACCCCAAACCCTGCCTTTGTTGCGGGAGAAAACACGGTTTTGGATGGTTTCGTGGAGCTTTTTGCTAGGCCCGATTTTTTCTCAGTGAAGCCCTCATAATCTCCACACAAGGCTGCGCCAGGAGTCGCCCAAAATGACCCAATGCCGTCCAGGAACTCTAGCTAGCACGGCCCCGGCCAGGAGCAGCAGGAGTAGTGTCGACACAAGGCTCGCGCGCACCCATGGAGCCTGAAGCCGGTAAGCTGAAACAGGAGGTCCCTCACAACGGGTTCAAGACTGGATCTTGAATTTGCGGCTCCTGGCTCCGAGGAATTGGGACAGGAATACGTACAACATACCAATGGGTTGTGGTCTATTTTTCTTCTTGCAGGGGGTCATTGCCTGAAAGGCCTCCCTATTCTAATACAGACCCACATAACCCAGACGATTCATGGTGGCCAGGCCATGACCGTATGGCCCAATTGCTGCTCATCTCCGAAGCCTTGAGGCCATCGTTAGTAGCTTGGAGGCCAAGCCGCTAGTAGAAACAAGGAAAAAAGAAGAGGAAGAAAGGTCTACTACCAGAAACTCCTGACACAAGAGTCAACGTTTGAAACTGAATTGGTGACCTTAAAAAGGAGGCACAACCGGTCTAGTGAAGCAGCAAGCTGAGGCCATCAGCGGTCAATCTGCCAGCACTGGAGGACCGAGCATCCCGACTCGACTCGCGGACACATCGATGTCGCGAGTGGAGGGCTCTACATCTTTGCCGCGCATCCCAACGAGCCCAACGAGCCCTGGCCACGGTAGCGGTTCTGGTCGCTCTGATTGATCGTCTAGGTGTTGGATCCGCTGTGAAAAGAGTGGTCTTCATAGTGTTTCACTCTCAGCTTGTGTTGCTTCCAAATGATCCTTCAAATGGTGAATGCAGCAATGCACCACCAGTAGATGAACTAGGACCAAGGGCTATTTGGAGCGTCTGGGTTGAACAAATAACCCCCCAATCCTTTTACCATTTGTTTTGGGGGGAGCTTTATTGACTCGGTGCGCCAAGGCACTCAAGAGTGACTTGCGAGACCCATGGCTTGTTATCCAGAGACCCTTCACTACCAAGCAAGGGCATTTGGGTAGTAGTTATTGGGCAATCGAGTCGATCGGCAAACTCTTCTTTTTTGAACATTATGGAACCAATGCCCAATGAACTCATGGACCACATGCAAGAGTTTTTTGGACAGTTGTCTGAGACCCCTGACCCCTCCAAAGGATTCGGGTCCGACCCCTCAGAGGATTCGGGTCCAGGGTCGCGTCTGGGAAGTGCATCACAAGCTTGCGCAGCAAAGCTTACAACAAAGATCCTTTTCACACCCTTGCTTCATGGCTTCTCGTGGCTCCTCGCTTGCATGATCCAGAGATCTATAGCCAGGATAAACAAAATCAGAATGTGCGATCAAATCTCATGCAAAGTCAACTGAATCACAAAGAGTTCTCTCTCATTCATCAAAAATCTTGAAGGAGTCGATTTAAGGATCCGTTTAGATCACCTAGACAAAATGATACTCACCCCATTGCTTTAGCAGATCTTGACTGCATGGCTGGGGTGGAAAAAACTCATCTGCAAATATCTACCACTTGGCTGCCAGTCAAGTATTCTCCATCTAGATTAATGGCAAAATCAAGAGCACGTTCCAATCAAGAAGATAGCCCAATCAAGGCCAAAGATGCCGCCACCAGGATGAGGCGGCACTGGGAAACGGCGGAAACGGCTAGCACCGCCCTCAGCGGAAAAAGCTCCAGGCCCTCATGATCCACCAAAAGAAGTCGCACAGCACCTGGAAGTCACCACGGATTCGGTGCGTGGTGTTCTCGAACTGAAGATGAGATCAACACGAAACATGTTTGATCTTGCATATCATTCTCATGAAGATGAGATCTTCTGTAGGGTCTTATAGATGTTCTAGGGTGTTGTGTTTTATCGTTCGTTTTGATGAGAGAGATATCTTGCTCTCAGGAAGATACGCGAAGTTTTCACGCGGCGACGTGCATGGCACCGCCATCTTCGGATGTGGTGGTCATCTTGCGGCCATGGCATCCACGGCCAGGCTCATGATGTTCCAGGGGGTGTCAGTGGTGTCTTTTGTGAGTGGGATGTGTTCTGCAGAAGAAAGGTGCAGTACAATGGTTCGATTCAACGTGGGATCTGGGTGTGTGAAAAAACGGAGAAGAAGCACGACTAGCTCTTCCATCAACAGGTACTGGTGAGGAAAAGACCGTTTTTGCACTTCTTCAGCTGTTGGTCTTGCCAGTAGCCTTTTAACCAGGAAAAGAGAAATGAACAAGAATCACCGTCTGGATCTTCCCCAGAAAAAGGGAAAAATCACCCAGGAATCGGGAAAAGAAAAGAATGGCCTGCATCTGGCATATTCTTTCTTTTTTTCGCAAGACCATGTCATCCCAGGCACAATCCAAAAACCCTGGAAGATTAACCAGCAGATGACGCCATCATCTACCAACATCTTCCCACTGAAGGCGGTGATCACCGCAGACACGCAGGGCTCGAGGAATTTGGCCTCGAAGGAGAAAGTGATGGGAGTCTGAAACCTCGGGCCTGGGGCGAATACATTACATACAAAAACCTGACAGAACCTGGCCTCTGCAACAGGTTTGATTGAACGTTTCGCCTGAGAGAACATGGGCAACGGTATACTCGCCTCAGCCAGAAAAAGAGAACCGCCCTGCGCGGGTCAGACGAAGGGACGCCAACGACAATCTCTTCTCAAAAGCGGAAAAAGCGCAGCTAAAACGCGAAACATCGGTGGCTGAGAAAGGATCCCCATCCAAACATCTTGGGGTGCTGCCATCGAACCTCTGAAACCGTATAAAAACCTATAAAACATCAATTTAGTTCATGTAAAAACAAAAAAATAGCTTGCCTCAGTTCCCATCCATCCATGTGACACCCGCTTCACTCCGGCTTTGGACTGGCGATGGGTCTCCCCCCCATGCGTCACGCGCCACCACCAGGCGCTTGAGGATGCCGTCAGGCGCCCTGCTAAAGCTTCCAGGAATCAGGATGCTTGTTTCGCCCTAGCCACCAGTGGGTAGTTGTGATCTAAAGCCAAAAAGGTCGACCTATGGTTCGTGGGCTTTACAGGGAAGAAATGAGACACAGCCCTGAGTTTCCCACAAGGCGTCCACACTTGAACACATGATTATGCAGATTCGCCAGCTCTCCTCAAAAATGGTGGGATTGTACAAGCTACCAACGACACTGTTCAATTTGTTTCATGGACTACAAAAGGCGTAACACGACAAAACACTTCAATCTAGTCACTTTCCACAAAACCAACCTCCGCCATCCTACAGGGTTGCTATATAGCAAGACCTCCTATGGTGGGCCCACACCAGGTGGTTTCTTGTCGCACCCCCCCGCACCAAGTGCTTTCCAGGTCGCCACGCCAACGCCAGCCTGGTAGGCGAAATCCGAACGAATTCCGAACATCGGCGGGTGAGCCTGCACGGGGGTGAGCCTGCACGGGCTGAGCAGGGGGTCCTGGAAGAGAGAAGCATCGATGGGTGTGTAGAAAAGGGTTCCCAGAAACCGAAAAAAAAAAACGCCAGGCGGCCTGGGGGTCTTCCTAGTTCAAGACACATCCATATGCAGTATGTGTAAGATTGTATCATTGATCAAATTATATCAATTAATCTCACGCTTGCACGTGCAACCCAGGTCCAAAGGTAGAAATGTGATAGGCTGAACCATGCCCACTCTATAAAGAAGCAGGTCACCGTCATGCTGCCTAACAGGGTGTTCCACCTCTAGAGCCCGGAAGGGGTCTTTAACAGCTGTGGACCTGAGACCCAATACGCTCCCTTTGATCGGTTCTAGGAGCCCGTGGTCAATTCAGAAGCTGCAAGAAACTCCACGATATAAACAGTTCACATGCATCCCAACAGCTGGGATATCATAGGAAGTTCGGGAGAAAGATCCGAGTTAGGAAACGTTGTAGTCCATGTGAAGAGTCTTGAACCTTGTGCGAGATTGCAGCATGGCTGTGGGTCGAAAATAACCGGAGCCCGTTTCACCCTGGTGGGAAAAACACGGGTCATCTCGTGCCATGACCTACAGCCACATCCGTTGCTTTCCGTTGAAACAAATGCTTCGAAGAGGTGCCACCTCACACGCGGATTTTCACGCAGACCATACAGAAAGAGAGGCCCCACACAGCAACGTCCATGACTGAGACCCAAAACCAATGTCCGTGACTGAGTCCCAGAAGTAGGTCCATAGCAAACTTGCAAATACCCTAGGGATCCAAGTACCTTCTCAGAAGGTACTTGGAGACACTGTCATCTATGTTTGGAGGGTCCAAGTACCTTCTGAGAAGGTACTTGGATCCCTAGGGTAGTAGACAGGTTTGTTTCACAGCGATTGAACATATATGAGCATGTCCACCCTCTTTCACCGATTGAACACTTCTCCTATCACGAAAACGAACCACAAAGAAAACCATATTATAAAAAAGATAATACACCCGTAACAACACCAATGAAACAAGAGAACATCCAAAAGTTGAGTGTGTTAAAAAGTGCAATTTCTCGAGACGAATCAAATCTCCAAAAGTTAGAAACTTGTAGAGAAGAGGGTGGTTTTGAGAGAATCTATCGGGTCTTTCTGTAGGTAAATATTCCAGTTGCATGGACTGGTTGGGGAAGGGATTCAATGGGTTCCCAAGCACAACAAGGACGGATCCAAATATATACCTTCTCAGAAGTACGACTGGACCCTCCATGCTTGCTTAATGTGATCTTTGAGTGTTTCCAATCACCCAACTTGAACGCTCCAATCACTTCAAGGGACATGGCGTTGGTTGGGGTCCGGGACCGGATTTTGACCCACCATGTCTGGGTTCTTAGGCACATGATCCTAATTGTGGGTGTGTCTTTTGACACCTCCCAGGCAACGACCACCTGGTTCGGGAAAGAAACCAGTCTACCCAGCCAGGGGGATTTGGGGGGGTCTCCCTATTAAAATACAGACCTGATCCAACAGATCCCTATTGCACATACCCGGATCTTCCAACTGTGCAAAACATCTGCCTTTTCATCTTCAATACCAGCCCAGTAAGGATGAAACCTGACTAACCTAACAGTTTAACACCTCGAAGGGGACTAGAACTGCTCCTAGCTGCAGCTAGGGCTCCTAGCACAGTTGGAAGATCCTGAAGATCCCCAAGCTGCCACCTCCTCTCGCCTCGATACTCGGCAAGGGCTCGAGGTAATAAGCCCGCCGAGCGCCATTGGAGAGACCGAAGCCAGCAAAAAGCAGAATCCCTGATAGCATGAAGAGCAACAAACCTCGGTGGATCTTGATCCAGATTCCAGATCTATACCAGGACACCCATACCGGGGTGTCTATTGATAGCCTCTTAGAGGTTAAGGGGTGTCCATTAACTATATCAATTCCTCCAGATTCCAGGTTCCGGATCCAGATCAAATACTACAAACCGAGCTTGGTTCTGTAAGATCTTCCCATTCGTCCAGAGTCGAACATTCCTGAAACTCGAGTCCTCACAGGTCAGCCTTGGGTCACGTCCTAAATGTCCTGAAAACAGAATGATCATCCGCAATACCCAGATACTCCATGTACGGCAAATTGACCGATCAGTTGGGGTGGTTTCAGGGATTAGTATGTAAATATGCCAGTCCCATGGAGTGTTGAACGGGTCAAGTGTGGTGGGAGGGCCAAAAGCCCTCGAACTCGAGCCTCGAACTCTTTGTGAAATTCCCCGAATTGGATTCAGCGATTCAACGAGATTGGAAGAAAGGTAGATTGGTCCAGCTTGAGTTGGAAACCAGAAAGGTCTGATTGGTTGGTACCTCTAGTACCAGGATTCGACCCAGCATCAAGGGCACCAGCAAAATTCTGGTGTAATTCTTCTAGAATGATATCAAGAACCTTGTCACCTTAGGTCGTTTTGGTGTTCATATGATCCGCTGTCTGGATGTGCAACCTTCTGCAAACCTTGAAATAGCCAAAAAATTGCTGCATGCCATGTCTGCCATGTCATGCAGGATTCAGGCGATGCATGTTGCATACCGCTTATCTAGTTACAAAAAGAGAGGACTGCGCTGACACCACCATGCTTGTCTCTGTCCATTTCTGACAAGTTGTGTCCCCACTGAAGGGCCTTTTTCACATGGTCCATCAGTCTCTCCATGCTGTCTCGGAAGCTGTCCTGGATGACATGCGCGAAGACCATCCAGCAGATGCCCACCAAGAGGCTGAGCGAGATACCAATCCTCAGGCAAACCGAAGCATTGCTGCCAGCTCTCAGCGAAGCGAAGGAGGCCACCAAGTAGGCGGGCATGATGGTGCAGCAAAGCACATTGGAGTTCAGAGGGGCAACGCCGTAGCCACTGGGTTTTTCCAGTTGAAGGATCCAAGCCAAGTTGGTCAAAAATGAAAAGCAGGTCGATTCCTGAGTAGAGGGGTAGAGTAAAATCTTCCACCAGCTTTGGCGGAAGTCACACACGCATCATCAAGTGACACCAATGACCAGGATTCACGTGCAACATGAAGACTCACCTCATAGGATCTTGTCTCTCTTGCTTAGACACACTGGTCACCCTGGTCAAAAGGAGACTGGTAAACTTGTACTGATAAGTTTGAGAGTTGTGCCTGCATGGAGAATCTGATTGGAAAGATGTCCTGCTCATCCAAGTTTCGACCCCAATATTCATCAATAGATATGCAAAAGGCCGTGCATCTTCCAGGAAGGCTGCACTGGTACTGGAGGCCAAGCTGTACATACTTTCTGGGCTTGGTTTGGGTTTCATGTCCACCTTCACAGATCCAATCTCTTTGGTTTCAGGCAAGTAGAGCTTGATGCCGCAGCCCACCACCATGACACAAAGAGCCAAGTAGAGGAAAATATCGCGCCAGCCTGCCACATAAGCCTCACACAGGCCGAAGAGGCTCCGAGTTCTTCGCTGGGAGCATGTTCATCCGTCCGAGTCATGTGCGATGGGTAGTTCCGGGGAGTCCAGTCCTACAGGCGAAAAAGACATGTCTAAACCAGACTCTCAACACCTCCTCTTAACTAGCTGTTTTGGGGTGAAACATCCTCAATCAGGGACTCACGTTCCCATCTAGTTGTGACCGAACTGAAAAATGCAGAATCCGAAAAGCCTAAACTGTTGTCACCTCCAACATAAATGAAATTGGAAACCACCCGCTGTGTCAACCAATGGTTGTTCTGCATTATGTTTTTTGGTCTTCGCAAGCCATGACATGTCGAAAGGAAAACGTTCCGAGACTGGCTCGACTAAGTCTACTTCTGGAAAATTCAGGTTGCACGCTGACTCACTAACATGGAAGTGGAATATGGTCCCTTGGTTTCAAAGGCTCGATGGCACAGACCTCATGATGTCCTTTAGATGAGGGTCCATATAAACCACCTCTTGAGGTCTGTGCCATCTACTCTCATTCCACTATTAAAAAAATACGTGCTTCGTCATCACAGAACATCAAGAAGCCAAGAGCCCACCTACCAATGGCGCGCCCACACTGCCAAGCCCCAACATCATGCCGATCCTCGCGAAGGCCAACGCCCTCTCATCCGCATTTTCCTTGGTGAAGCCACCGCACCGAGGAATTCGGTGAAGCCGCACTGGGGCAGCGAGGAGAAGGAAAGAAAGGAGTATGTTTTTCTCAAATTGTTTGCAAATTTGGGGTCCATTCTGGATAGAGAGGTCTTGTATAACCAACACCATGTTGAAACTTCTTGATGGAGCACCATGGCAAGTCGAAAAAACATAACTGTAGGCGCGTACTCCACTCACGAAACCAGAACAAAGTCAGCAGTGCACATAATTAGCACAGAACCACGCAGAACAAAGCCACACCAGGATACTACCTGGATGGAAGGGCTGTGGAGCTCACGTTATTACACCATTATGCAGGAATCGGGTCATGCTGTCACGCTAACTTGCAGGCAGGCTCCAAACTCTTTGCGGTGTAGTCGTGCTGGCGGCGCTGGCGGTGTAATCGTGCTTGTTGCGGACAGACCACAGAGCACTGCACAGAACAAAGCCACAGAAGCAGACCACTGAGCACCACACAGAAGAAGACAAGCAGACCACAGAGCAAGACGCAGAACAAAGCCAAACAAGCAGACCACAGAACAAGACACAAAACAAAGCCACACAAGTAGACCACAGAGCAACACACAGAACAAAGCCACAGAAGCAGACCAGAGAGCACCACACAGAACAAAGCCACACAAGTAGACTACAGAGCACCACACAGAACAAAGCCACACAAGTAGCCCGCAGAGCAACACATCTAACAAAGCCACAGAGGCAGATGACAGAGCAACACACAGAATAAGGACATTGACAAGCAGACCACAGAACAACACATAGAACAAAGCCACAGAAGCACCCCTCGGCTTTGAAAGCCAACAGAGCTGCCAGTGAGGTGCTCGTGAGAGGCACCACATCCAAGAAGATCCCATAACGCTAGCTTGAGTCAGCACCCGCATCACCTGGTGGGCTCGAGCGCCAGCTGGCCACTCAACGCGCGAAGCCCTTCGTGCCACATCCACACCACGCGACACCGCGACACCTTATAAGGGCCCGTGCAGAGAGGGCATCTTCACCATCGCGGTAGTAGATGGATCGCAAGCTGCCTGACAGCGTCGCCCCTTCGTCGCAGCGTTGGTTTGCACAGGTTCACAGTTGTTGCGATAGCCACTCTTGAGGGTCATGGGCCACAACATCCACCGAAATTGCCAGAGTAAACGCCTGGCCTGCTCGTGTCCTCGCAGTCCTGCTGCCTGCGGCCGTGCGGCCTTCCCATTCTAAGGCCTGTTTTTCCAGGCCTGTACGTTCCTGTGCGTTTGCACTTCCGGTGCAGCTGGTCGCCATAGACTCGCCCGGCCGTTCAAGTAGCCTCCGAAGCCAATGACGATTGCACGCAGCCGTAAGAAGCTTCCCACGCGATCAGGCAAGGAGCTCGCAAGCCCAGAGCTTGGAGCCCGTGCCGCCTGCTCTTGCCTTCAAGTTTGGCCATCTTCTGTCACCTCTTTTTGGATAGGCCACTGGCAATGAGCGTACAGTAGCGCAGCTCCCTGTCCGAAGGTGAATTGGTGGGGCGTGGTTCTTGTGGCTTGTGTCAACCTGGTCGCCAACCATTGACACCAGCCCCACCCAATTCCCACCACAGGCTGAGCTGGTCCTATCTCCATCAAGCCAAGCCTTGGCGGTTGAATGCAGATGGGTCATGATCCCGTGAAGCCAGTGGGCTTCAACTTGGCAGACCGCTGAATATGGTGAATTGAAGCTCCCAAAGTTGTTCTACCCAATGGTTGCCGAGTGGATGCACAGTCATTTCTCGCGATCCCTACGTCCAGGAGTCCAGGAGTAGGTACAAGTAAGTCACTGGGTCCTTCAAATTGAGGACTAGTGTTCCCTTCTCGTCGGAGACGGTGACATATCCAGACGCATGGAATGCCATGACGCCGGCTTTGATAAGCAAAAGGAACAAAAATACCCGGACCACTAGCAGGCTCCTGAGTGGACCTTGCAGCATGGGATGTAATACTATTCAAGACTTCCACAAAACGCACTTTTGGAAGAATAATGTGTGTAAGAATACAAAAATGCTTGCGCTTTCAGAATGGTCGGACTTTTGGAGGAAATGGTTGGCTCTAAAGTCTGGTCACGGATGGCCGGATCATTCAAAGATGGTCTGGGGGGGTTATGATTATTGTATATTCGCATACTAAAACCACTAGCATTTAGAATCTAAATTCCGGGGGGTATGTAATTATATATATATATTACGTCTATAACCACTAGCATCTAGAATCTAAATTCCGGGGGGGGTTGTAATTATATGTTACGTATATAACCACTAGCATCTAGAATCTAAATTCCGGGGGGGTATGTAAATATATATATATATGTTATATATAAAACCACTAGCATCTAGAATCTAAAGACGGTGTTTGTCAGCATGGGTATCATGCAGCCACTTTTTCCACCAGGTGAACAAGAACATGCGGTTCTCCGGTAGCGGACCGTACATGTCTGCGCAGCAACTCCCACCAAGTAACGGGGAAATGTTCCCCTACAATGTCCAGTCTGACCCAGTAAAGCCTGGTCCAAATGACCTCCAGTACTGTTTTGATGTGTTTTTATGTGTTTCTGTATGACAAACTCCAGATTTCATGAGCTCCAACCCACTTGTAGGGATAGTCTTCAGGTCCTTCAGCCTTCCAAATCGGGACCGGCCATCCAGGGGCCGCCCCCTTTTTGGGTGGGACACCCCCTGCCAAAATGTGTTGTGGTCATAAAGATGTTCGGGGCCATCACCTTTGTTACACCATGCCCCAGAGTTTGTTGATGTTGGGAAAGACCATTCCCCATGCTCCCCCAGATGTCGTATGTATCTTAAGCTAGTCCATTCCCATCAGTTCCCCACAGTCCCCCTCCACACGCATCCGCTCCTCCATGTTTGCCGTGTCTCCCGGTAGACATCTGCCACCACGATCTCCGTCACGGCCAGTCCTGCTTCGCCCATGCCCTGCACGACGCGCAGCACGATGAGCCAAAGCACGTTGGGCGCGAGGGCTGCGGCGATGGACGAGAAGTAGAAAATCAGGAAGCCTCACACGTGGAGTCATGGCTGACTCCTCAGTTTCCCTGGAACATAAAGTTGGTTAACCCTTTTCATCGTGTTCAGCAGTCTGTTCAGCAGTCAGTTGGTTGAAATTGAAAAAGCTTTCTTGATGAAAACAAGTCAAATCACTGGTCATCTGATGTCATCTGAAAAAGAAAACACAAACAAAAACAGGTGTATCCTATACCAGTAACAGTCGGGTTTCACAAGCAAATCACGAGTGACTTAGAACAAGGCCTGGTTGCCCAGGTCATCCACAGTTACTGGTAATAGGATAAATTAATGGCAAGTGAAATGGATGTGTTCCAACTCCGAAGGTCGCCGGAGTTGTGTTCACCGTCGACACTTCCATCGCTGACGAAGCAGAAGTCCGGTACCATCCACTTCCATTTCAGGGAGTGTGTGATGACCAGCAAAAAAAGACAATCTGCACTTCTGGATTCGCTGAGAAGCTCAACAAAATCAGAGGCCGCCGCCCAAGACAAGCTAGGAAGCCGAAGAGCAAGGAGAAGATGGCAGCTGCGATCCAGTTCAGCTCCATTGACAAGTTCACGACCTATGAATTTGGCATCCGTCGACATTTCGTGCATCTCATACTGCGGAGAAGAACACATAAATTAGAAGCTCCACGAGAAGAAAACGACGATATATACACGACATGCTATGATATATGGTATGTCATGTATGTGTATCCCGAATACTTGGTGTGATTCTCGCAACAAAAGACAACCACCGATCCACCAAATGGTCAGCCTGTGGGAGAGCCTGTAGATCCCTTCCGATGGTCGGGAGATTGGAGGTGATGAAATCTCTTGCACCAGTGCATAAGAGGACCACCAAGCAGACCGTGATCCAGGGCAGCTCGACCTCCTCGTTTTTCATCCTCTCCGGACCATGCGAATGCAGAAGAAGCATCAGGGTCAAGCCCAGAACCTCAATGCTGGGGTCGAAAAGACCCGAGAAGACCTAAATATCCTGAAATACAAGCATATAATTTATCCATTGCCAAAAGGAATGCTACAAAGTCCAAGTCACTAAAATCACAATGCCAGAAACAATGATACCTTCGCCAATCTGGGATGAGGCAAAAAAATGGATGTGATGGTCAGCATAGCTGGTGCCTCTTTCATGGCTGTGCCGCGTAAGGTTTGTCGCGGACACAGAAGTTGCGTTCACGTAAAGAGAGGTTTGCAGCAGAGCGTGTGCACACGCTTCCACATCCATGAAAATCCACTCCTGTTCGGTATCCTGAGGGCTCAAAGGAAGCTTGAGCCATTGCCTTCTGTGAAGAGTCGGTTCGGATCACCCAAATCCTTTCCGACGAACTACAGTCTACAGCGTAGAACAGAAGCGGAAAGGTTCCTGTTTGGTACTCGGAACATCGTCTTCGGCCTGGACACGTCCGTGAGTCACATGTCAGGAGTCACATGTCAGGGGTGCCTAGATCTTATGGCTAGGGGTGCCCCTGTCACATCCACTCACCTCAGGTACTCAACACCACCCAACTCCATGCGACTCCCGGGTAGGGAAACAAACTAAAAGAAGGAAGTGGCAAGAAGGCCAATCCTCCGTAGAAGGTGCCCAGACACGACTATTGCAATGGGACTGCCATAGATGCCGCCCCAGACAGACCCCCCAGTCAACCACCCCAACTGATCTTAGGCAGTCCTATGGCAGTCCCATGCAGTCCTGGAAGGCCAATCCTCCCGGTTGACTTGGAGGGTGGGACCCGAACTCCGAGTGAGGTCGGTGCGCCCAGCATGGCGTGGCGAGGGAGGGAGGGTGGCCTTTCTAGGGGTCCCCTATCAAAAGGAATGCTGAAGAATGCTCAGGTTGGTGTTGAGATCAACAGAATGTCAGTCTGCAGGATTTCTAGATCCCTGCAGACTCACTTGGAAACGTGAACAGTCAGTACATTACTAGTAGTATCTGAAGAACATCCGAAACATTCCCAAATATATTACATATATTTAAGTAATGCTTTGCTGGCAGTCCATGTACCGCGTGCTCATGAGACCAGCGAGCTCGCATTCTGTCGTCGGTGCGCTACATAGCTGTGGTGCGCCAGTGGAATCGCTGTGACGGGTCCTGGTATCGAGTTGAAGCGTCACGGCATGAAATTCCCAACTACAAACCCTGGATCCAGCCACCCCACATCTGAACCAACATCCTTCGGACACTTGGTAGGCCACTAGTAATCCATCAAGCGCTCAACAAATGTGCGTTTCAAATCCACCGACATGCAGTGAAAGAGATGGCGATGATCTGCGAAGCCATTGAAACTGCAAAGGTCAGCTACATTTTAGATCGAAAATGGATGCTCCAGGTAGATAAAGATCCACCAAGCCCTGGTCGCTATGTACATGGCTGGCTTCTACAAGATTCTAAGATGTGTACAAAACTCTTCTGAGGCATAAAGTGCAATCTCAATCCATTGTCGTTGCAAGGATGAGCTCCGTCGCCTCAGTCTAACCTCAGTCAGTCTAACCAACGGCAGCGGCAAAAGGCCGTGCGGCAGTCAAAACATGGTGAAAACCCAGGCCCTCGCAGGTGGAACTGGGGCATTTGTCAGGATACAATGGCATACTTAGAGACATTCCTTCCGAAGAAACCGCACCGTCCACCCCAAGAACAACAAGAAAACTATACCACAAAACTATACCACCGGTGTTCCTTATTGTTTTTCCTTTAATATACATCGCTGGATCTTCCAACTCTGCGAAACAAATCTGCCTTTTCATCTATACAACCAGTAAAAAGGTACCAGGACCATCCTGTCTGGCCGGCCCCCCACTTTTTTTGTCGACCTTTGATTCACGAGCAAACCCAAGGGCGGCCCAATAGGGTCGGCTGGCACAGAATACATCCCATGGCTATTGAGGGTAAACAGCATAAGTGACATAACATATGTCACAGATTGGCAACACAGAAGAGAAAACCATTTTTGTGCAGTCGACACAGACCACAGGGGACTTTTTCAGCCGTGGTGACAAGAAGGGACGTCGCCAGGGGTCCAAACCGAACCCTGTGAACATGTCTTCATCATGTTCATCACGCTGAAGCTTTTGCGGGCAGAAAAACTCATGCGAAACCCTGGCGTGTATGTAAAGTCAGACAGTCAGACTAGTACGACTAGACAAACTTTAACAGTTTCACCAAACAAACTGGAGCGAGATTCATATTGATATGCACAGATTCTCAGATCTACAGAAACAAGAGAAACACACCCAAGATCACCCAAGCATATCAGCACCCGACTAACCTTCCGAAATGCTGAGTTCAAGGATCTTCAAAGTTGCAGGAATGGTGACCTGTGAAGTCGAGGGCTAATAGAGGTCCTTGAGCCCGCATGGAAGACTTATAACCTGAAATAGCCCCACATGCAACCTCACTTAGCAACAGCTTGGCATCTTCACTAATTAAATCTGACTATATAATTACTTGTAGTAAGCAGTTTTAAAACGACCACATGATTGGACTTAAGTACATGTCAAAAGCGGCAGGGTTGATCTGCCTTCAGAGATTCCGATGACTTTGCTGTCCTTTCTCCCATCGCACCGGTGGGGGCCGTCGTTTTCTTCCCAAGGAGCTCTTCCACACTGGGAGCTCTTCGGTTCACCTCGGGCGGCGAACGAACTCCAAGACCTCCAAGAAGGGTTAGTTTCCATGGCCTCATGATGGTTTCGTCACCCAACGTCCAGTCTGATCCAGGTCCCAACCTGGTCAAACCTGCCTCCTCGACCAGCTCCAGTATTTCATGAGGTGAAACTGACCTGCAGTTTCGTGTGGTTTGGTGTTTGAACCATGAGCACTGGCCCAGGGGCCGAGGTTTGAAGCTAGTTGAACCAACGCTGGAGAGTGGCAGGTCCCAAGTCCAGGGCCCGGGGTTGACCTCTTTCTAGTTGACCTTTTCTTCAATCCGGCTCTATGTGATTAAGTCGGAGTTCTCACGAGTTCTCCAATCAGTAGGAGGACCTCCAAGGGAGGTGTAGTGCATGTGACCTGAAAAAGGACCCATCATATCCGGGGTACTTATGGGATTAGGGTTCTTCCGGTTCTTCAACCTCTGCTGGTCATTCAGCCCGCATGATCTGTTTCAATGTCCATTGTGATCTCTACCTGGACCCGCCGTTTTCGGGGTGTCCTGGCTGGACTACCCCACACTACCAAAAAACGCTTCCAGACAGGGCACCCCGAAAACGGAGGGTCCTGGTGGGGCCTCTATTTCTTCAACTCACCAACCCCCAAGGATCGCTCGTCGCGTCCTCTCTCTCTCTCCGGCCTTCCTTTGACCTCGCCACCAAAAGCGTCCGGCTGGGAGTCCCGCGACCGTCGGCGTTTGGGCGCCGTCCACCTCTTTGGGATCGAACCCAAAACACCCAAACACGACGGTTTGGAATACATGCCACCCGCCCTCGACTTCCATGGAAAACATGGTTGACCGTGGTTGACCTGGTTTTGTCACATCCAATCAAATCGTTAGTTGATTAAAGCATATTAAAGCGTAAATTAATGGTGGTTGGAAGGTTAGGGCCCCAACTCAACCCCATCCCCAACTCAACCCCACCCCAATGATCCAATGTAATACGTATACGTATACTTGCATATGCCAGTCCCATGAAGTGTCTGGATGATCCATGGACTGGAAAAACCTCTTCGAACACTCGTCACTCCCCATGGACCTTTGGATCTGGACACCGGCTGTCTTGCTGGGTGGAACCTCGTGAGGTTTAGAGTTTAGACGGGCAGCTTGCCTCGTAGGTGAGACATTTGGATTGGAATGACAGGTAGTACATTGTGGGAGAGACTGGAGGACCATACGATAAACATTCTAAATGGAACCGATTGGCATGTAACCTGTGGATGGCATGGAGTAGTACACTGTACACGAAAAACATGGAACCTGATGGCATACACCAGACTGGAGGACCCCAAAAATGCTCCTCGCATCTACGTCGTGGTTATAAGGCAGATCTGCACACGCCCACGTGGGGTGGCGAAGACCTGCATGTGGGTGGTCGAAACCGTCACTCCAGTCGAGTCCATCGTCGAAACAGCTGATCGGGTCGAACCGGGGGCGGGAAACGGGCTTAGCAAGCCATCCCGGGTTGGAACACGCAGAGCGGCTTCGACCAAACGGTCCATCCCCGATCACGGATGTCATTGGCAGTTTGTACACTTTTCATCAGGTTTTGGAAGTGGCCAATGGTGAATTTCATACCTCCTACCTTAGAGGGAGGTCATCTAATCCCAGAGCTCAGGGGGGCCTTGGGCCGGGCCCATTTCCCAAGGAAACAGGTATTGAATGTCCATCCCCAAAGGCAATCAACTGAGCCAAGTGAACCTCAGAATCCGTGCCCAGGCACTGAAGAAGTAAGCCCCTTCACACTGAAAACGCTTCCATGCCACCGAACACAGAGCAAGGTGGAGTGTTGACCCCAAACAAACATCGGAACATATCAGAACCCTACGTTTTTACGTCCAGTCTGACCCATTAAAAGCTGGTCAAAAAACACCTCATTGAGTGGCGGCGGCGGCCAACTCCAGTAGAATGAGGTCTTTGACTTGTAGGGGAAGAATTCCACTCCCAGCAAAGAATCATGGAAGCCTGGGAAAGTGGCAGAGTTCGGCCCTCACCACAGCTTCTGGTGTTCAGCTTCGAGATCTTCGACCCCTGTCAGGCACTAAAAGCTAAGGTCTTAAAGGTCCCACAAATCAGCTTCAAACGCCTTCAACCCACAGACGAATCAGCCCCACCGTCACGGGTCCCCACCGTCGCGTGGGACCTTCCAGGTCGTCACGCCACACGACATCGCTTTGCACGGCATCTGTCCCGTACCGTGCCGAGCCTCAAGCTTTTGGTGTGTCTGGGACCACGTGGCCTGGAAAAGGTGGGCTCCAGGCTCGGGGCGTGAGCAAAAACGCGCGCGTCGCACTTCAGCGGAGGGTTGGGTGAGGGGGGGGATGGGTCTTCGAAGTGACGTGGGTTGTGTTCTGAACATTCGCCCTAAAGGCAGGCGGGATGCTCTCTTGGGATTTTTTGGGAAGTCGGACTAAAGCGAAAATCAAAAGAAACCATAAAGAAACCCCTTCAAAGGCTTGCGATTCGTGTTTCTTGTGGGGTTGCCATGGCAGCAACGGCCCATCCTGAAAAATCCGGCCAAGCCTTAGATCTTTAGGACCCTTGACCTCGACCCTAGCCGATTGGCCTCGATCTGGAACAC